ATAGATAGATAGATAGATAGATAGATAGATAGATAGATAGATAGATATAGATAGATAGATAGATATAGATATAGATATAGATATAGATACAGATACAGATACAGATACAGATACAGATACAGATACAGATACAGATACAGATATAGATATAGATACAGATATAGATATAGATATAGATATAGATACAGATACAGATACAGATATAGATATAGATATAGATATAGATACAGATACAGATACAGATACAGATACAGATATAGATACAGATACAGATACAGATACAGATACAGATATAGATATAGATATAGATATAGATATAGATATAGATATATAGGTAGGTCTAGGTGTGTTCGGGTCTTTTCCTGTGTAAGATTAAAGATTAAAGTACCTTGGTGACGTTTCGGCGAGGTCCCACTCGCCATCATCAGGCTGGTGCTTTCAGCTTTGTGCCAGTGCACACAGAAAAAGACCCAAACACACCTAGACCTACATACCTGTACCTGTGAAAATCTACGAAAACAAATACATATACATATACATATACATATACATATACATATACATATACATATACATATACATATACATATGTTTTCTTAAGTTTTCGTGGGTACTTACATGTATGGTATTCAGCTTTGTTCGGGTATTTTCCCACTTCATTATAGTTGTGCTTTTAAAGTTGTGCTGAAATGTTGCTACAACTTTAAAAGCACAACTATAATGACGTGGGAAAATACCCGAACAAAGCTGAATACCATACATATATATGTAGGTCTAGGTGTGTTCGGGTCTTTTCCCGTGTAAGATTAAGAGTATCTTGGCAATGTTTCAGCGAGATCCCACTCGCCATCCTCAGGCTGGTGCTTTTGGCTTCATGCCAGTGCAAGCAGTGTGTGATCAGAGCTGCCGTCTCTCTATAAATACTGATGGTGGGGGCTAGTGTGCTGGGCTGGTTGGCTGCGCTACTGCCTCTTGATTGTTGATGGAGTCGATGTTTGTATAATGGGCTGTGTGATGGCCTTGTGAGTTTTGTTGTGGAAAGCCGAAACGTCACCAAGATACTCTTAATCTTACACGGGAAAAGACCCGAACACACCTAGACCTACATACCTGTACCCGTGAAAATCTACGAATATATATATATATATATATATATATATATATATATATATATATATATATATATATAATATTCTTAAGTTTTCGCGGGTATCTATATGTATGGTATTCAGTTTTGTTCGGGTATTTTCCCACGTCATTATAGTTGTGCTTTTAAAGTTGTAGCAACGTTTCGGCAGAATCTCATCTGCCATCATCAGGCTTCTGTATTGTGTTCATCATATATATATGACTTGTTCAGAGTTTATTGCAGTCATTTAAGGATAATTGATGCTAATGCAAACAGAAGCAGAATAGAAAACCAAATAGTTCCTTTCTCTGCATCCAGGTATCTACTGCCCATAACTTTTGTATACAGAATTAGTTGATATTTTTGTTCATACTATTTTTGTTAAAAGTTCGGTTTAAGTAGCTCAGTTTTTATCCATGTGATTGAGCTTCTACCCATATTCCTTTTGTAATGGTGCATGTTATGAAATTACAAAGCTCTATATCTTGTATGCATGTCCTTCACCTTGATGTAAAATTGTACTCTGATGATTTTTGCTGTTTTTTTCAGGAAAAAATGTTATTACACTGACTGGAGGAGCAAAACCATGGGCAGGTTGGTGGGTGATGCATAGCTTTTAATTTTACCAGAGAGTCATCCCATATATAATAAATCCATCCCAGCAGTTGTAAATTTATCACAAAGGGTTTTGAGAAAGCTGATTGAACAAAGGAGGCAGTAGAACTTAGATGCTTATTTATTTTCAGCTTTAAGCATGTGACTGACCTCACCAGAAATAAAATAACTCGAAGTATCTTCCAAAGCAATGATTATGTTTTATTTGTAAATAACAATGAGGTTCAAATAAGAAAGGTTTGAAGAAAATGGATCTTAAAATCTCAGAATAGCAAGAAGTTTGTAGAAGCTTAAGTTTTGTATAGTGCTTAGTACTCTAATACTAAGTCTTCCAAAGAACATTTAGCCCATCACATTATATTTAGGAAGGAGATAGAAATATTGTCTCCATTAAACTCCCTTCCTTGGCTCCAATCCCTGATTCCAACCAATAAGCTTTCATTAAGGCCCCTTCAGGTGAACATGACAAAGACACACTGAGATCATATATATCCATGATGGCAAACCCATGGCATGCATGCTGGAAGTTGCACACAGAGCCATGTTTCCGGGCACACCAACCATTGCCCATTGCTCTTATGGATTCTGGCATGCACTGGCCAGCTGGTCTTCACATGTGCGGGAGCCCGTGAAACTGGAAGAGCAGCTCCCAGTGCACACATGCGCGCCAGCCACCTGGTCTTTCACTTTCTAATACTCATGCACGCGTGAAGAGCAGCTGGCTGGGGTGTGCCTGTGAGTTAGAAACTGACCAGCCAGCTGGCCTTCATATGTGCATGCACGTTAAAAGCTGAAAGATCAGGTGGCCGGTGTGCATGCGCGCACTAGGAGCTGCTCTTTTGGTTTTTGGCACTCATACATTTTGACCCTTGGTTCCTTTTCAGCATGCACTTGCTCCCATTTTGGCACTCGGTGCCAAAAAGGTTAACCACCACTGATATATACTAAACATATAATCTCATCAATTGCATCTTCAATTGCTTCTACACCCCAATGATGATGATAGCCACTTTGGGAAGTCAAAAACATTTAAAAAAATACAAAAACACAAAAACAGAAGGCAAACAAACAATAACAGCAAAGAAAACAAAGCCAGAGAAGATCAAGAAAAGAAAGAAAGGGATATCAGCCATCCTACTAAAAAGCAAGATCAGGGGTCCCTAAACTTGGAGACCTCTGAGTTAGATGAAGAGCCAAACTTTTAGGAACCTTTGAAAAACCAGTAAGGTAGGAAGCCCTTTGAATCTTGAACTGAAGAAAACACAGGGGAACTGCACTCTGGTGTGGAAAGTCTCAATTATTGTTTTAAAATACAGTGTTTAAAAACCTTCTTCAAATATTGGTATTTCCAATATTAACATAAATGTTTTATGAAGAGTTTTTGCTCCATCCAGCTGTTTTCTTTTGGGGAAAAAAGTATTTCTCATGGAATTTAGATAAGTTCTACTGCACTTCCATCAAAGTTCATTAGGCAGTGTTGATGGGTTGTTGTTTTTCATGCAACAGAATGTGAAACTCTCTTGTTGTAAAGCCAATTTCTCCTGTGATGGAGATATCAAAATTTAATTGGAAGGAGAAACAACAAACATAATCCTTTGAAACAAAATGATAAAATGATCCTAACTCTGTTTCAAAATAATCATCTTGGATATTATATTTTTACCTTGACTTTACCTCTGATATTGATTCAGTATCTAAGTTAAGTGAAACTAATGAGAGTAAGGTAATGATTTGACTAGGATTTCTAGGAATATACATATTGTCAATATTTAGGATATTTCATACGTTAATTATTTTAAATATATACTTTGTGTGAAAACTATGCTTTTCACATGCAGATATTAAATATTTGTTGACTGTAGTTTTTGATAGTAAAAAATTTACAACTGCTTACTTCCTCTCCCCAGTCATGCACGTGCTTGCTTTGTATCAGATAGCTGTCCTATATTATATACAATACATGTTTATATTTACTTGCTTTAAATGATGTGAAATAAACCATTTTCTCTCAAGGAATTAAAATCTAGACAGGAATCACATTCAGGCTACATTAACAAACATGACAGCTTATATCCTATGGAATTATTACAATGAAAGTTGAAACTCAAAACAATGGTTTTATAATCTGAATTATAGGTTTGGGTGTTTGTTAACTCTGTTCATTAAACTTTGGGTTCTTCTATTAGGCAAAATTCCCAAAGGGTAATCATAGTCAGCTCAAGATCTTCAATCACATTAATACCATAGCCACCTAGATTGTGATTCCAAGGAAGTTTTAATCACTTTTCTATGAAAAGAAACAAAGAATATTTACTTTTCACTTAGTAAATAAAGTAGGTGGGGAAAGAAGCAATACAACCCATAACCCAATACACTGCAGTATGCTACCATAGCAATAGCAATAGCACTTAAACTTATATATTGCTTCACAGTGCTTTACAGCACTATCTAAGCATTTTACGGAGTCAGCATATTGCCCCCAACAATCTGGCTTCTCATTTTACTGACCTTGGAAGGATGGAAGGTGGAGTCAACCTTGAGCCAGTCAGGATCAAAGGAATCTAATTCCTCGCAATGTGAGTAGAGCTAGCCTGCAATACTACATTCTAACCAATATGTTTGGACCAATATGTATTTAACTTCAGCTTTGTCTGGTAAGGCAACACATTTTTTTCATACAGTCATGAAGAACAAGTTTACTAAAACATAAGTACTGTATTGAGCATTTGATTTTGAAAGTGGATTTATTTTTTACAATATATAATTTACTTACCTATTCAGGTCTGCTTCAATAAATAGAGCTTTTTTTCCCATAAAAGAATGTTACTTCTTACATTATATTTTAAACTCCATCTGGATTAATAATTTCATTCCAGAAATACAGTATTAAACCACACAATCTCCTGTTTACTCCCAAATCTTGAGAGGTTCATTTGTGGAACAGAAGTAAAAGAGCTTTCTCTGACAGCTACTCAACACTGATAGTAGCAGTTACTATATATCACAGGAGTTACTATATTGCTATTTGTTACCTTGTTCTCTATGACTTTGTTAAACTTTGTTTAAGATCATTCAGGTTGATAGCAGTTAGTCTATGGAAATAATGATTCAGCATTATCATAGTGACAGAGTGAAATTATCCAGCCAATGCATCTCAAACTCTGATTCAATATCATTCTTTCATATTCTTATCACTTTGTATTGATATGTTCTGAAAAAGTCCTCATTTATAAAAATTGCACCACAGTTTTTTTAAAACAAATACAAAGGATTAAAATAGATTAATCTGAACGTTGATACACAATGATATCTATTTGACGCTTGTAACCAAAGTTTATTTGGGCTTAAAATAAAAGAATAATCCATCCATTTGCTGTTTGCATTCATTTCACATTTCGTGCCTAAATAAGTTGATTTGCTTATCATTATTAAAAAAATGAATTTGTTTTTTAAGGTATTACATGAATATATGAATGCTGTATTTTCATGTTATATTTACAATTGTAATTTTGGTTTTAAAACTAGACTATGTAGGAAAATGTCTATTTTTTTTCATTGAATGGATGACAGTGCAATAATGAAATGAAAAGCTAGAAAGTTGTAGAAGTTGCAGGATTCTTTATTATCCTCTTTTTAGCAAAATTTCAAAAAAGTAGGTACTAAAATTATTTTTCAAATGCTTCTTGAAAATGCTTCTTGTAAAAGGTTGTGCTTTTAGCTTTATACAGTATCTGCAGTAACGTGTTGGTATGTTTTCTTTTGTTTAGTACACTCTGTCAAAATATATACTGCTTCTTATATTTTAAGCCAAACATATACTCTTGTAAGAATCTTTAAAAGAGGGCATCAGTTTGACCAATGAATATAAATTGATATACTTCTGATGATTTTTTTGAAGAAATATTGATATCGTTATCAGCTACCAGCCACTTCTCGTTCTTGAAAGCAACTAAACCCTTCTGGGCAAGGAAGGTGAAGGTGTAGGAAGCAGTTATAAACAACTGCAGTGGTTCCCATGGTAAAAATGCAATCATGATCTTCAATGACATTTTAAACCAGAAAGAAATATAACACCAAGTTCATTGAAGAAAATATTATTTCCTTGTCACTAGAAGAACATTCCTAGCTTCCTTTTTTTAGCAGCTATGACAAAGTCATTGCATTTGTAACTGCAGATTTTAAAGGCCTCTTGCTTTCCATGTATATTATTATAATTATTATCAAAAGTACTAAGAGATCCAGGGATCTACTATCATTGATTCTTCAGTGGAATAACTTTCTCAGGCAAAATTAGTGGCCAGTCTGGGCCTTGTCATGCAAACACATTTCAGTAATGCATAGCATTTCAATAATACACAAGGTTGAGGAGACTGACTGAGCAGTAAGTAATAGCAGATGAGAATCAGGGCTAACAAAGCTTCAGGGACTAGGCTCCATTGTTGAGCATAAGAAGCCAGAACACAGCATCAATACAGAGATCAAGGCCACTTGTAGTCACCTGCCACCTGTTTACTGCCATATCTCCCTGTGCTTGCCTTCTCCAACTTAAAAAAAACCTATCACCTGATCCTTGACCTCCCACCTCCAGATCAAAGGGCTCTATCACAGACTATAATAAGATGATAATCTTTCAAAGTAATTGATCTATTTGATGCCCAAGTGCTTCTGCAAAGCATTTGGCACCCAAAACCAAGTCAGCCGTCTATCTTACCAGCCTCCTCTATACACTTGGATATCTTAGTCATGTACTGCTCTCCTAAGGGTTTTTTGGGGGGAGGGAGTTTTTTTTTTTTTTCACTTCCTGAACAAGTCCTTGCAGTTTTCTCGGCAAGATGTTTTGCCTTCTTCCTAAAGCTGAGAAGGAGGGAAGGAGTGTCTTGAGTGGCTCAAGGTCTCCCATCTGGCTTTCTGCCTAAAGTGGGATGACTAGAACTCACATTTTTCCACAGTTTCTAGCATACTCACCATGGATTTCTTTCATTGGGACATGAATTATTGTATAAAATATTCCACCAGGAAAAGAAGTCAAGCATCCTGTGAGTCCTATGGATATAATATTAAATGTATGGATTCCTAGCAGTTGTTTTAACAGGAGGTCAACTTCAAATAAAATTAAAATCTCTTTCAGAGTCGGACATTAAATGCGTGTAATAAATATGATCTTTTTATTATTACTACACATTTATCTTTTCCAATATTGTCTTTCTCTCTCTCTCTCTCTCTATCCCTCCCTCCCTCTCTCCCTCCTTTCCTCCCTCTCTCTCCTAAGCATTTATTAAGACTGGCAGAGTTTTAATGCCACAACTCCTTACCCATTTATATGGACAAATAAGCAGTTAAAGCTTAATCTGCCAGATCTATTTAGCTGAATTGCCAAGGAGCATACAAAGAACAGAACATCCCCAAATGTCTGTTAAACATTAGAGGCATTTAGAATTCTTGGAGAGGACTTAAATTATGACACCAATTTGGGGAAGTTATGGACCTACTCTTCTGAATAACTTCCCTTCCCTAAATTAACAGAAAGCAATTTCATTTTCATTCCATTCTTCTGCTACCATTATTGTCCTGTTCTGCCTTTACCTAACCAATATTATTCATAGGATTCCAGATATCTCATGACATTTGACCATGGATTCCCCTTCATGCCATTAAAGATGATTAGCTTTAGTTTGAAACAGTAGCAGCAATGCTCTGACACCATAAATAACAATCAGATTCCATCTAAAGATCTTATCTTACATTTAACACTCCTTGATAATTCAAGAAGGAGCTGGAGCAAGGACATTTTAAACTTCCTACTTCTCACTAGCTCTAATTCCAATCCAGACTGGGGTGTTTTGTGTGTACAATGAACTAAATCATGAGAAACTGGAGTATGATGACATTCATTGCATATCCTTTCTAGTTTAGTCCTCAGTAGAACATTGTTCAGTCCTTACATATGTCATTGGGGGAATCTTTCCCTAAACTGGGCTTTAAACAGATATAGGGTCTTCAACTCCCATCACTGGTCATACTGGAATCCATACATCTGGAGGGCACCCAAACTGGAAAAGGCAGTTTTTAGAGCATTCCTATTGGCCATTTTCCTTCTTGTCTCCTCCCTCATTAGAACTGTGTTATAAATTATAGTTATTTTTATTTCTTTGCCTTATAGGCTTTCTTTATCTATCTCTTGTTTTGCTTTAGATGAAAAATAATGTTAGAGACCATGTGGTTGTTTCTTGATTTGAAGTCTAGCATTGTCCTTCCAGTATCCATTTCAGCACCTCACATATATAACAAAAGGTATAAAAGACATAAGACAATAAACAAAATGTGGTTTCTTTTCCCTAGTTTCCAGAGGAATATGAGGGAACTGAAAAGCTGGTTGCCCAGAAATCCAATGAAACTTGATAAAGAAGCGCTTCCTGATTTGGAAGAAACAGATTGCTACACAGCTCCTTTCAGCCGAGCACGTATTCATCAGTATGTGGTGAATTTAAAATATATTCATAGAGACCAGCAATATTGTTTCATTATTATTTTTTCTCAGGGGTTAACATAATAACATTCACCATTAACAATTGCAATGTTCAAACTGAATGGAAAACAGAGTCCAAAAATGCTGGAGTCTATATTTAGCAATAAGTTACAGAAGGATTTTCAGCTGCATTGATCAGAAGCTGGTTCCACTCATCTAAAGTTGACTTTCTTAAATTATATTCATAATGGTTCAAAGACATACAATTCAGTTTAGTCCTTTGAACTCATAATAGTTTTAAGATGTTCCCTGTAATTGCTTCATTGCATGGTGGCTTATTTCAAATAACTTATTTCAAACAACTGAACAATACATATTTTGTTTGATTATTTTTGTCCTTCTATTGTAACATCTTCAAAACAGCTTCAAAATGCATAAATAACAATATTAATATCAACATCTGTTTGAAAATTGATAAAATTTTATTCATTATGATATTTCAGGCTGGTACATTGACAGCTGTTTCCAACATTAATTGATATTAATTGTCTCTTCAACAGTTTTACAATAAACAACAAAGACAGCTTCTTCAGCAACTCTACAAGGAGTAGGATGGTACACCACATGTTACAGAGAACGAAGTATGAAGATGGAAAACCAAAAATGGGTACAAGTTGATTTTAATATAACAATGCAGGTGTTGGAATTCTTCTTACCAATTCAATTCTTCCAGTAAAAATGTTTAGTCAATAATGTAAATCTAAGATATTGGTGATTCAAACAGGGCAATTACCAAATTCAGGACTATTTCTGTGTGAGAAGGAAAAATAATACCTACAAGCTATAATACTTTAATGACTTCCCTCAACCCTGATTGACTTTGACTTGTCCATGTTCTTCTACTATTTACTGTTAATGGAGCAGAATATGAAGATTGTGTTTTTGTGTGTGTGTGTGTGTGTGCACGCGCGTTTTATTATGCTAAAATCTCATGACTCTAAACTGTTTACAAAGATATGCAAAAATAATTAAAGCATCCCCAGTAGTATGATTAAAACAAACTAAATAACAAAACCACAAAATTAACAAACAGCAAGAAGTAAAAGATAGTACAGTAGGTGAGCATCATTAGAATGCTGTATTGAAGTCCTCTGTTTTTTAACAAGCATCTGAAGCCATCAATTCTCTAGCAATCTGGCCACTTGACCTTCATATGGAGTCTTTAATTTGGAAATTGAGATTGCCACTATTTTGGAATCCTCCTTCCTCCTGTAACAGCCCAAGTGATGCTCTGTGACAAATCTCCTTTGGCAGAATACAATGGTTAAACTCAATCCATCCTGCCATAGTTGAATAGTCCATACCCTCTTTTACAATCATTCAGGATTTACACACATACCATTCTCTGTTCCTTACTTCTTCTAGTGCCTCTGCAATCTTTCTTGCTGGAAAAAAAAAATCAGTAGTGATTTGATTCTTTTTGAGCAGTGGATCTCCATACTTAGCAAAATAGTCACGATTAATCAAAAAAAAAAAAAAAAACCCAACCACATTTGGGAGACTAAGGGAGAGCTTTTTGCCTAATGCCAACATGAGCAAAAAGAGAACTTCATATACCATACTAAGAAACCAATAAAAATGCTTAGTGAATAATAAAGAATGTTTTTGAGTTAAAGAAGCAAGCACTTCTTTATTATTGAGATCCATATCGCTTCCAAGAAAATATTGCTCTCTAAACCATTTTTCAGTATCCCTAATTGTTTCTCCCCACTGCTTTTGTGGCCAAATAGAAGTTATGAAAACCATTTCCAATAAAGCTCTTTGATTTCCTCTGCAAAACATTGTTTGGTAGTAAAAAGAGAGAGAAAAAGTGCTTGGATAAAATAATTTTCTGGTTATAGGTTAGAACTTATGGAATTCTTCCTCTAATTTTCTCCTGCTTGATGCTTCCATTTTATGAAAAAGCTTTCCTCAAATCAGCACATTTCATTTTGTAAATGGAAAACAAGTTTCCGACTGAGGTAGTTTCTTATCACTTTATTTAATACTGAGAAAATTCCAAATAGATCCAAGATGATCTACTTTCTTTTTTGATGATAGAGCTCTGTAAGAAGTAGATACACTGCACTGTTGCTTCTACTTCAGGTAGATATAAGAAAAGTTAACATTAAGGCAGCTTGTTGTGTCATGCATTCCTAACAGTGTTGCTTTTTGATCCTTGACTTATATTACTTTGTAAGACAGAATTCACCAAACCTTAGAATGTGGGTGGTATTTAAGCTTGGGGAGACAGATTAATTTTATTCCACCGATGTTTCAAGTCATATTAAAACACATGTACACAACAACTATTAACTGTTTTCCTTTGAATCTGGTCATCTGCCAGTATGATCAGAGATAAACCAGTGGTGGAATTCAAAAATTTTTATTACCGTGGCTTATTTGGTGTGCATGGCTTGGTGGTCATGTGACTGGATGGGTATGGCTTGGTAGTCATGTGACTGGGTGGGCATGCTTGGTGGTCATGTGACTGGGTGGGCGTGTCCAACTCAATGTCACTCATATCAAGGGGTGCCTCACCTGGCCCCTCCCAGCGATTCCTTATCACCCAGCCTCAACTTATCTATAGTTCTGTAAAAAAAGATGTTGTTCATCTTTTTTGACTTTATTTTCTGCATACTGTAGATGTACTTTCATGAACCATTGAAAAGAGGAAATGGCTCACATGCTTCGCCCAAGAGTGTGATAGGCAACAGGCTTTTAAGGGGCTGCCACAAAGAAAGGGGGAAAATGTATTTTCCAAAGAAGCAGAATGCAAACAAGAAGCAATGGATGGAAACTGAACAGAGAGAAGTAACCTAAAACCAAGGAGAAACTTCCTGACCAGTGTAACTGCCTGTCTCCAGAAGTTCTGGGTGCTCAATCACTGGAAGTTTTTGAGAAAAGACTGGACAGCCATTTATCTGAAATGGTATAGGGCTCACCCTTCTAAATATTATTCTGAAATCTTTCCCAGGATTTCTACTCAGAGTTTGGCATCCTCAGTTTTCTTGCCTGAGCTGGGGGTTGGACTAGAAGACCTCCTTCCAACTCTTGTTAAACACATGTGTATTTTATGCTCTGGACTATTGACATTGAATGCATGTAAACCCTGAAAATATGTGCTAGCCCTGGGCAAAAGAAAGGCAGAAAAATCACTCTAGGTGTAGGGACAATGTAAAATATTAACACATGATAAATAATGGAACAATTAAAAGTAATAGCACAGAATTTTCTCTCTCTCTCTTCCTATATTTTTTCTTTCTTTCTCTCCCTTGCCCCCCCCACTCTCTCTCTCTCTCTCTCATACACACACACACACAGAGAGAGAGAGAGAGAGAGAGAGAGAGAGAGAGAGAGAGAGAGAGAGAACTTAACAGACAAGCATTTTGGAAGCAGCTCCTTTAAATTTCTCCAAGGCTGGAGTGGATTCCTCCACCCCCTCTGTCAGACCGCACTCTTTCTTACTCCAGACACTTTAACTCACATGGGAAAGCGATACTTGCAGCCTCCATGGGGAATCCTTGGAGACGTTTTTAAAGGACCTGCTGCTTCCAAAATGCATTTTTGTACGTTGCAAAAGTGCTCCAAGGCTTGATTCACCTCCAACCCTTCTGTCAGACCGCACTCTTTCTCACTCCAGACATTTTAACTCACACAGGGAAAGCGGTACTTGCAGCGTCCATGCCTTTCTTCCTTTCCCTCGGGGAGAAAGAGGACGTAGGGAAGAGAAAGCTAGGAGAGCGATCGCAAGTGAGCGACCGGGCAACCGGGTTGGGGTGTGGCCAGCCAGGGGTCACCACCGGTTTGGCAATCCACGCCAAATCACCACTACTGGTTTGCCCGAGTAGGTGTGAACCGGTTGAATACCACCTCTGAGATAAACCCATAAATGTGGATCAGTGCTGTACTTGAAAGGCTAATCCCAGTCAGAATAATGAGCAGAAGGTTGGTTTTTATATGGGACTGTAAACTGTGTTGGATTACCGTAGAATAATTTTGCTGAAAAACCTTGAGGTAATAAGGCCTCAAAGAGTTAATGGGATTCCAAACTTGAAACAGGTTCATATCTGTTTGGTACTTACTTATTTTAATATTGAAGTTTTTTTACCTTTAACATTTCAAAGATTTGAAACATGTCTTCTTTCTTTTAGGCATTAACAGGTTGCTCAGCAATGGAACATATGAAGCTGCATTTCCTCCTCATGAGGTAAATTTAAAGTTTCTGTTGAGTATTTCTGTTTCTCATTTCTGTAAGACTTGTCTGAGTGTCTTTTTATTTTATGATGGTGATAATATGTCTGATGCTACTGTGCAGCAATTTCTGTAAGGCTTCTCTGAAAGTTATTTTTTCCCCTGATAATGATAACATGCATGATGTTATTGCGCAGTTTTTCTCTGTATTAGATATTTTTCATTGCCTGGCAGCCAGCCCTATCTGATGCTTATTTGCTCAGAAACAAGGCACAGTGGGATTTATTCTGTACCAATATCCAAAAGGTTTCAGCCTAAAATATAGAGCTAGTTCATGTGCTATTTTGAAACTCTTTCTTATACTAATTTTTCCCTGTGAGGGACCAAATTTTAAATTTCTGGTTCATACATTTATGGCTGACATTTTGGATTCTAAAGAGTTGCCGCTGATTCCATTACTGTGTTAAATGTCTGCTGTATTAAAGAGGGAGGGAGGGAGGGAGGGAGGGAGGGAGGGAGGGAGGGAGGGAGAGAGAGAGAGAGAGAGAGAGAGAGATTTAGTATGTGTTCTACAGTCAGAGCATAAATATAGTCTTGGTGGAAACAGTTGAATAGAATTCAGCTTGAAGTATACTTTAAGTATATATTACAAAGAAATAGAGAGGAAATTCTTGAAAAATGTCTTGATGCAGTCCAGTCAAGAAAACATTCCTCAGTGCCCTTACAGGTCCTACTTACAGTGCTTGGCTGAAGGCCCACTGCCCATCTTGTCATGACAGTGTGGAAGAAGATTGTCTCAGCAGGACACAATACTTTGTGCCCTGGTACAAACTAATTCCTTTCTGTAAATCTGAAAATGCACCTGAATTGCAATAAGATGACATGTTGTAGCACAGTGGCTGTGGCCCCCAAATTTTTGGGCACCAGGGACTCGTTCCATGGAGACTGTTTTTCCACAGACTTGCACAGTAGGGGACATGGTTTCATGTGCTGCCTGCATCCCATGGATGCAGCTTCGCTTGTTTGCACAGGCCAGTTTCTTACATGATGTGGACCGATGCCGCCCATGGACTGGGGTTTGGGATCCCCTATAGTAGCATGTACTTCAATCAGAAATGCAAGCAATTGATGTACATGCAGTGTTAGCCTCTTATCATGTACTGGGTAAGACAATAGCGAAAGCAGGAGTCCTGTTATTGCATTGCACACATAATCTTCCTACCTCTCAAGATCAATATAAGGTGAAAGAGCTTATACACAAACATCGTAATATAATAGGAAGTTTACTTTGAATAGTGGTGACTTCCAACTCAATGCTTATTTTCAAGACAGTTTACTGAACTGGAATTTCCCAAATTGTATTCTGTGGAACTCTAGAGTTCCCCAAGAACATACATGCATACATAACATTGATGTAGTCACCTATATTTCAACCAACTCTAGGTGGCTCCCAAATGTAGAAATCCCAGAGAAACTAAGGGCAAAGGACGATAAAAGAAAAAAAGTTTATGCCTATGCAGTTTTCTCTCATTAGAATTCTTTTTTTAAAAAAAAAGTTTTTATTTTTCACACAGAAAACATAAAACATAAAACCATCTTTCAGTTACATACAGTGTGTTGGTTGGTACAAATCTCTTGTACATAATCTCTATAGTCTTTCCCTTCTAATTTAAGATTAATCCTCATAGTATCAATCAACTATACGTATTTATATTATTGTTAATCACTTACAATATTAGTTACAAGACTTTACTAATATTCCATCATTTTGTGCGAGCTAATCACCATTTTAGTTTAATTTACTTTGTAACATTCATATCATCATCATTAATCAATTCAATAGTAATATATCCATACATTATCTTATCTCTACAATTCTATTGTACTTATATTATAAATTATTATAAAATATTTCATTTCCCTGTTTTTTATCTAGCCTAAAATAGATCCCATATCTTATAAAATTGTTTATCTTCTTGCTCTCTAATTTCAAATGTTAATTTACTCATTTCTGCATGCTCCATTATTTTCTTAATAACTTCATCTTCTATTGGAATTTTCTCATTTTTCCAGTTTTTAGCAAATACAATTCTAGCCACTGTTAATACATTTACAATAAAATATATCAATTACAATAAAATATATCAATTATTTACTGTATATTTCAGGTATAATGCCCAATAAAAATATTTCTGGTTTTAAATCTTTGTGTTTTTTTGTCATTTTTTCCAACCATGTGTGGATTTTAGTCCAATATCTTTTAGCCTCAGCACATGTCCACCACATATGGTAATATGATCCAGGTATCTGATGACACTTCCAACATTTCTCCGACTTGTTCTTAAACATTCTTGCTATTCTTGCCGGGGGTATATGCCACCTGTAAAACATCTTATACAAATTCTTTTTATATGCTGTTGACACTGTCATTTTATAATTTCGAGACCACAATTTTTGCCATTCCTCTAAATCTATCCCATATCCAAAATCTTCCCCCAAGCACACATTGTTTCTTTAACTTGTTCTTCTTCTAGTTTAACCTCTAGTAGATATCCATATAATTTTTTAATCACCTTTTCATTAGTACCTGTCAAGATTTTATCTAATTGAGTTAATTTATCATAAAAACTTTCTGTTTTGGAGTCTTTATCATATCTAGAATGTATTTGCACATATGAAAACCAATTCATCCTTATATCTTGTTCCTCTAGTTCTTGTATAGATTTAAATTCACCCTTTTCATTGAATATTTCACCATATCTGTTTGTTCCATTTTATAGATTACTGGATATGCGAATGCTTCAATAGTTGATAACCAAACTGGTATTTTCAAATACTGTTGTCTTTTAATTTTCTCCCATTTTATTAATAATAAAGCCTCTCGTATATAATGCCTCCTAAAGTATCCATGTGTTTTAGTCCCCTTGTACCCTAAGAAAGCATGCCATCCCAACAACAAATCATGTCCTTCTAACATCAATAACCTAGTATTCCTTAATTTAATCCATTCCTTAACCCACATCAATGTTGTCGCCTGATAATATAACTCCCAATTGGGCAAGCCAAACTCTTCTCTTATTCTAGCATCTTGTAGTAGTTTTAATTTAATTCTCTCCTTCTTTCCCTGCCAAATGTATTTCAGTACTATTTTATTTAAATCTTTAAAATAGTCTTTCCCTAATTTAATTGGAATTGTCTAGAACAAATATAAAATCCTTGGTAATATATTCATCTTAACTATTAGAATTCTTGATAAATGATTCTAGCATTCATTCATTCATTCATTCATTTGAAATGAGTGCTACAATCTTAGAAAGTCTGAAAACTCCCATTTTATATAAGTATATTCTACTAGTGTTACATTATCAATTGATGCATTTATTTATTCAATTCTTATTTATTTGTTTGTTTGTTTGTTTGTTTGTTTGGAAAATTTATACTGCTGTCTATTTGCATATGGTGACTCAAGGCAGCTTACAAGAATATAAAAACCTCATATAAAAATAATAAAACTAATAAGAGTCATATTATAAATTAATACCCTGTTTCTCCAACAATACGGCCTCCCCCAATAGGAAGTCCCAGCATGTTTTATAGGCATGAAATGAAATTAAGCCCCTCCCCCCGAATTAAGGCCTATATTAAAACATGTGAAATGGGGGGGAAATGGTGTGGGGGCTTGCCGTTAGGAAGTACTTTTGTTGTACACCCGGATATGGTGCTGCCTGCGTTGACCCCGATACGAAGTGCCCCACCAACGCCGAGGTCAACATCCAAGCCATCCCCGCCCGCCCACCCGCCGGTGCAAGGGGGGGGAATTAAGTCACCCCCGAAAAGACAGCCTAGCCATTTTTTCGGGGCTCAAAAAAAAAAAAAGACCCGGCCTTATTATATGAGAAACACGGTAATATAATATAATAAAATTACCCACACACATAACACATCACACAAATCATTGAATGCTTCAATTGTATTTATTTTTTATTGATTTTATTATAATTTCTTGATTGTTGTGAACCACCCAAAGTCACTGAGAGTCAGGAGGCATATAAGTTTAATAAATCATAGTTGGTTGCATTCAACCAGAAGTTTAGGCTGGATTTGGCATTTTTGTCCAAATGATAGTGTTTAATAATAATAATAAAGGAAGCATTGCAAGATGGAAGCTGTTCCAAATAAACCTGCCTTTTAGAATTAATGATTTGGTCAGTTCCGATGGTGTTCAAGTGGTATTCCAGATGTTTTAGAATTATTATGTGTGAACAATTTACAGTTAGATTCACAGTCTAAGACAAAGGGAAACTTAATTCAATATTATTAATTATTCTTGGTAGCATCTAAGAATGCAGGCAGTTCCAACCAGTGTGGCTTTTGTAAAATTAAGATATTCAGGTCTGATAAATTCAATCTTTCCAGGTATTTTTATTCTTTAACAGCATGAATACTTGTAAGGAAAATATGAAAACAAGAACTCTTTAGCAAGGCACATAATTACAATCTTAAATCATAGCTTCTGAACTAACCCCACAGATTTTTATTGGATATATTTCCTCATCCCCAAACTGTACATAGGAGTAGAATATTAGATCTAAATATACTCTTTCTATATGCAACAGTGGTATATTTAGTAAAGTGCTGCTTCTCCTCCTCAATGTTTAATTGTAACATAAAAATTAATGAGAATTAATAAGATGATTATTATAATGTATTCTATAAATATGCTATATAAATTTGCATTAATAAGTAAGGGAGTCTCTCAGCTAGAAAGTGCTGCAGTTCCACAATACTGGGACAAAACATTTATAGATAATTCCACCTGATTATATTCCAAAGAAATGGTTTCATGCTGCTAAGAGGTTTCTGAGCTATATCAGCTCTAGCAAAAAGATGGATGTTTGATTAGAATTGTTCAATGTTACATAAGACAATTATTAATAATATCCTTATTTTTCAAAAGAAACACTGATTTTAATAACATATTTTAAGACCCCATTTACTATAAGTATCATACCAATTCTTCATTATATCAATTTGGGTTTGTATGTGTACTCCAGGGAAGTCACAAGAGCAGGCATCCTATCAAAACACATGGAGCTAAGAACCATCGGCATCTATTATATGAACGCTGGGCACGATGGGGGATGTGGTACAAATACCAACCTCTGGATCTGATTAGGTAATGTATATATGTAATATAACAGAAGTTGTTTTGGTTCTGTGTCATTGACCATCCCATGAGAAGTCCAATATATCTGTTCTTCCATTGTGGCACAGAGAAGACCTGTTTTTTTTAAAATAAATTTTATTCTTTAAAAACAAAAAATACAAACATCTCATTTCCATTAACAGTTATTGTGTCATTGTTTATACGTGTTTCTTATTTTGTGACTATACATTATTTTTATACTTATCCTTCACCCATTCGTACCACCTCTCCCATGTCGCATAGTATTCTCGATCCTCTTTGCCTTTCAGTTCCATAGTGAATTTATCTAGTTTAGCACAGTCCATTGTTTTTTGAATCAAGACTTCATCTGGTGGTATTTTATCACTCTTCCAATTTTGTGCTAACGTGATTCTTGCTGCAGTTAAGACGTGTACAATAAGGTATCTTTTATCTTTACTAAAAGTAAAGTAGAGAAGACCTGTTTTTAATGGTCTAATTCAGGGCTGTCAAACTTGTGGCCGGATGTGTCACGTGCTGGATGTGTCACGTGCTGGATGTGTCACGTGCTGGCCATGCCCACACCTGGTTTAGCGAAGGGGAAAAAAGGCACAATATGTCACGTGATGCTGCCATGACAACGCGAGTTTGACACCTCTGGTCTAATTGAAGGGAAGTGGTAGGTCATTATTTTTAGTCACTGTACTGAAGGGTATTTTATTGCAGTGGTGCAGACGAGGTCATTTGCATCAAATGAAAAAATGTAAATGCATCAGAAATCACTTGCATTGCACAAATGATTCAAATTGATAGAAATAACTTCATTTGCATCATCGGCATGATGATACCAAATACCAATTTGATACCATTAATCAAATTGACACAAATCATGTAATTACCAGTATTTTCCTAATTACATCATTATGCAGATTGCAATAGAATTCCACCTAGTGCACACAAACTCTGAAAAGCTGAGGTCTATAAATGTGAGGTTTCACTTAATTTCACCATCCATGGTATGCTGTTTGATTGATAACTGTTAAAGTACCTCTAACAAAAAAAAATGTGTTAGTCATAGCTGTCTTACTGTGTTTAGAAACATCTACAGATTTCCACTGTATTTTAAGATATTAGTGAGTTTTTTGTTTCAAGTTACAAAAAAAGTACATGAAAAATAAATGCAGATAAATTGCTGCAAAATTCCTTACCCTGCTAGACTTAGGATAAATTGCAACTTTGAAGGTAGTCCAAAATCTACGTAGATCCTCTGTCTCACTTGGAAGATCCTGATTTCAATTGTCATCATCTTCCCAAAGATTCTGTCTAAACAGTTTAATCAAAGCATATTACAGAAGTGAAGCATTTTTTTTTCTTCCTCGGATTTTTCTGCAAGTGCAGGTCCACTTCTTCTTTTCTTTCAGATCAATCAAATGTTGATCCCTTAGTTGCAACAGGAAATGACCAACTGGATTGTCACCTGAACCTGATGTCATAACCTGAAAGAGTGACTGGCTCAAGGTCACCCAATTAGCTTTCATGCCTAAGGAGGAACCAAAATTCACAATGTCTGTCCTGGTTTCTAGCCTTGTGCCTTAACCATTTGACCAAACTAGTTGTCAGTTGTTTCTTTTCAACTGTAATAGTTTATTTATTTATTTAGCATATGGCACGTGTTAGCCAGGGGTCACCAAGGTGACTGGCTGCCTCTGTGAAAGGAATTTTTTTGGGTGGTGTTATCTTTACCTGCGGGATGCCTGAATGCCAGTAGGCATTCGGGGGAGGCTCCTTTCTTGTCCCTATGTGGTTTATTTGCTCATAGGAATCGAACTGCTGAGTTGCTGACCTCAATGGTGCACAGGCCCAGTATCTTACCATGTGAACCACCATGGCCCCACAAACTGTAATAGTGATAACCTACAACTGGTTTTTGTTTTGGTATATATGTTGATTTTATGTATGGACTGTCAAACCAAACAGACTATCATGTCCTTGCTCAAATGTCTCTTTCTCCTAATCCTGCCCTTGCTTTATGCAAATTCTAGTTGCCTCCCAATTAATTGATAAATGACATGAATTTGCTTAAATGCAATCAAAAGCCCTCAATTTTGATGTTAAAGGGAAAATTTTAAAATCCTTTGGTTCTATATAAAAGGTACTTCATCTGCCATGATTAATATGATTATGATCAGGGGTGGGATTCCACCAATATAACAACTGGTTCGGTGATCAGGCACGTGTGCTCCGCAATTCAAACAGTTATAATACTTACCTTCTACAGAAAGTCCCTGTGATGAAAACAGCTGAGGCGCAGCAAACCCCTCTGCCACGCGAACCAGCTGTGCTCTAAACAAAGAAAGTAAAGGACAGGAAAAAGCAGGGGCAGGTGGGCGGGCCCACATGCTCATCACAGCAAACTGGTTTGGAGATAGCTGATCTTCAGAGGAAGGGGTTCACCCAAACTGGTCTGAACCAGTAGAATCCCACCCATGATTATGATTCATCTCAACATTTAAAGCAATGGTGACTTAATTCTGTCTCTGTCTTTTCTCTCTCTTGCTTTTAAATGCAGGCGATATTTTGGAGAGAAAATTGGTCTTTATTTTGCTTGGTTGGGATGGTACACTGGGATGCTTATCCCTGCTGCGCTTGTTGGATTGTTTGTTTTCCTTTATGGATTGTTTACCATGGATTCTAGCCAAGTAAGGTAAGAAGTGAAAGGATACCATGTTTTTTTTTTTAAATGGCAAAGAATAAGCAGTGGATCAGCCAAGGAAATGTTACAGTTTGAAGAGCTGTGGAGCACTCTGGATTCTGTTCCAGAAAGATGCTCTGCTGCTTAAATATTTATTTATTTATTACCAGATTTGTATGATTTTATATATATATATATATATATATATATATATATATATATATATATATACATACATACATACATACATACACCACCTTTATAAAGCAGCTGAGTCTTGCCTCAGCATTTAGGGCCGCTCTCTGCAGAAATACAGAAACTCTTCAACTAACAACATTTCATTTAAAAGTTACAATGGCCCTGAAAAAAGGGACTTATGACTGTTTTCACATTTATGACCATTGCAGCATCCCCATAGTCATGTGAAAAAAAATTGGATGCTTGGCAAACTGTCTCATATTTATGACCATTGCAGTGTCCTGGGGTTATGTGATCATCTTTTGTGACTTTCTGATGAGCAAAGTCAATGGAGAAGCCACTTAGCAACAGTGTTACTAACTTAACACTGCTGTTATTTATTTAACAATGGTGGCAAGAAAAGTGGTAAAATGGGGCAAAACACACTTAACAAATATTTCACTTAACAACAGAAATTTTGGGCTCAATTGTGGTTGTAAGTTGAGGACTACCTGTAATTCACTAGTAACTAAAATAATAATTTCCATTGGCAAATTGTAGATTTGTGAAATGTTTTTTGAGTGGGGAGGGAAATCACAGGATCTGTGATTCCTGCAGTTAATCATGGAAAAAAGCTACACTTTTGTAGAACTGGAACTTATAAATGTTGCATGTTCATTTTAGTCTTACTTAAATTGTAGCTTGTGTGTCTTAAACAATACTTGTCGATTCAGATCCATAGGCTGTCTGTCTGTCTGTCTGTCTCTTTCTCTCTCTCTCTGATATTTTTCTGTTTAATAATAATTTGCAATGCAAATATGTTTGTGCACAGAAAAAAATAAAATTCACTTTAACAGATTTCTCTGCTTTATAAATCAACAAATAAAAGGATTTTGATCTTGTGAAGAGCTATGTCATACATAGAAGGTAAATAGTCAGAATATATTAATGTTGTATTCTGCAACTACTTAACTAAATAATTGCAAAGTCCACAAGAAAGTGCATTGCCTTTACACTTCTTCTACCTATTGACTGAATTGTCTGTTGGTGGGCTAGAGTTTACTGTGATATTTGTTCATTTTGACTGGGCAAGAGATAATGATGTATCCTAGTTTACTCTAGTTTTATAGGAATGCAGTTGGTTGGTACTAGATGAGAGTAGAGAATCTGGGAATGATATGATACAGTGGTGCAAGCGGCCTGTTGTTGGGTGAGGGGAAAGATGTGAGATGATACTTCGGATTAGGAGATGCTTGCAAATTGAAAAAATATCCTTGAAATTGAAGCCAGTAAAGTAATTGTTCCCTGTTGGTAGAATGGAGAGGCCCTTTGACTTGGGGGAAGAATAGCTGGATCAAGGGAGGTTGATGCAGTCTGGAGAACTAAGCATAGAAATATACCATGATGGCAGGAAGAAAGAGAGATTGCAAAAGACAGAGGATAGGCCATTTGTTGGGAAGATGATTTTTCCAATAATCCATTCCAATCCTGTTTATCCCAATGGCTTGTCATCTAAACTCTAGTGGTCCTGGTTTATGGCTATTCTTATTGAATGTTTGGTTAGTCTATAATAAAACTTGCATTAACCACAATTTAATTGTGGGTAAGAGAGCTAAACTTGTATGCATTATTGAAATGTGGTTGAATGAATGGGGAAGATGTACCTTTTTGGAGACGTGCCCAGGTGAGGTTCACGCGAGGCACTAACTGTGATTCCAAGCAAGGCAGGGAATTTCAGAAATTCTGATAGCTACCAAATTACTGCTCCAATGGTAGCTGATTGCTATTTGGAGGATGTAGGGTTTCTGGATGGGGAGGAACATATTTCAGCTTATCTGTCAGCCCTTTGAAGTAGGCTAGGTGAGGAAACAGACCAAGCAAGGATATCAGAAATGTTACTTACTGTTGTACATTATTTTAACAGAGTCTATCAGCATAATTCTCTGCCTACTGTTAAACCAAATAGAATCAAGGCATGTTGTTTCGAATTTCTTTTCATGCTTTCCAGTTTCCCATTGTCATTTACATTCTCTTAACTGTTCTTGCATTCCTTCATCAATATTATTTTTCCCACTCCTCTATACAATCCTGGTATACCACATGATAATAAATTTTAAAGCCTCCCAAGTCTAGATATTTTTCATCTTTAATTCTTAATAGGCTTGCTTGTACTCCTCCAGGCAGAGTTGGTGTGCAATTTGTGAGGGTGTGGGGGTATATTCTGGACTCACAGCTCCTGCCTGAGGAGCATAGGGCAACCATGTATAGATCTTTTGCACAAATCCTTCTTGTGCAACAATAGCACTCAGTTTTGAATCAGGACCAATTCATGGTCATTTACGCTTTAGTTAGCTTCCATTTTTATTATTAGAATGTATTCTACCTGAGACTGCTCCTGAACAGCATTCAGAGGTTGTAACTGTTCCAGAATATGACAGTACGGCCAATCTTGACAATATCAAGGTATGAACATAGAACACCAATATTCCATGGGGTACACTCACTCCTGAAAAGTTTCTGTGACAATTCAGAGTGTTCACTGTCACCTCCAAAGCCTTACACAGCACAAAACCAATTCATGTTTGTACAATTGTTTCCAACTATCCCACCCATCCACCAAGATAGACATACTCCAAGTTCTTTCTAGTAAGCAGCATGATCTGGTAGGACCCAGGAGAAATGCCTTTTCTGCCATGGCATATGCTGTGTGGAGCAGCATCCCCTTAAGATTTAGATGGCTCTATGCCATCTAATAAGGCTTTAAAGAGCTGACTTTTCCCTCAAGTGTAAGGATTGGGTGGTAAGAGAATCCTGTTAACTATTTGCTTTCTGTCTAAGGGACTTTTGGTACATTGGAAGTTGATTGTTATTGCAACTCTTTTTAATGCTTTTTGACTCGTGTTGTTAGCTGCCTAGGTTTGCCACAACAAGTTGGGAAGCCATTGAAGTTGTCTAAATAAGTAGTCTCAGAATAGAATGACAATTATGAGCATAGTAGCATTTCCCCCTAAAGTTCCCAATGGACCATAATCTGTAGAAAGTCATCTGCTGATAACATTACAAGTTTCTGAAGGCACTATTAGTTATAGAAGAATATTGATTAGACTGAATGTACTGCTAGATTATAGCTTCATCACTTTGTTGCAACATTGTGTACCACTAGCTAGCTCCACCTTGTAAAGTGTGCACTAAAGCGTGTACAAAGCACAGCTCCCTCTGCAAAAGACAGGAATTTCACACAAACTTGAAAAGGACACTTTTATTTTCCAGCAAAAGCAACTTTGTTTGCTCTGTAAATTCTGCCATGCTCTGAAGTTCCTAGATTGAGTGAATCTATGTGTATTGTACATATGATTTTTACAGCAATATGTAATTTCTTAAAGTTATGTAAGAGTATAATACTATGTAGTTAAAGCAAGTCTTCCATCTAGTGGTTTGTGATGACTCTGACATTTAAAAAAATACCTAAATAATGCAGCTGGCTTTTAGAAGGAATGATGAGTAGATAATTCAGATGTTATTGTTATTCATAGCAAAACATGATTACTTGATCTTAATATAAATGGAGTTATTTAGACATATGTCCTAGCTATATATATATATATATATCCTCACATTATATGTGCTGATTTGAGATTTCAAACCAACCAAATGAATAAATTTAGCAGTTAAAGTTTTAAATGTTCTTGTATAAAATAAACATGACCAGGTGTATATTCCATATTAAAAAGACAAGTATCATTTTACCTATCCCAGCATTAGGTATGTTTTTGTTTAACAAAACACGGAAGTATAAAAACCAGATCATTAAACAAACATATATCAAATTCAAGGGTAATTCATTGAAACAAAAGCCATCACTGAGATACTCAGGCAGTTCAAAACTTGCAGCAGTTAAACTAATCTCCAGGGTAGAAACATGTTCTTTCGCTAATATGGAAAATATGATTTTTATGGTGAATTTTCAAACTCATCTTGGATAGTAAGAATACAAAAAATTGGCAGAAACTACATGTATAAACAAAGAGCTATATTTTCTGCTCCTCTTCAGCACACAAGAATGAATCAGAGTCATTTGATCATTTGAACAATAGGGATGGGTAGATTGACAGCAAGCAAATCTTTTCATGGCATAAATGTACAGGACAGCTTTCTGCTCCAGAAGTTTTATGTCAGATTTTTAACAATAAACTGGACTTTCAAAATGTTTTAACTGCCAGGGTTCTCGCTTTTCTTAATTTATCAGCAAAAAGTTTTCCCACCATATCTCAGCAGCAAAGAGTCTTCTGCAAAGCTCTTGTATGATCAGTGTCTCAACTAACTGGGTAAAAAGCTGCAAGTATAGACTTTCAAAGACTCAAAAGGTCTGATAAATAATCTGATTCCAAAAAGGCTAATGAAATTACTATGCAAGAAAGAACGCCATTGATTGCTATGCATTAAATGCAAGCCTTATTTATAATGGAATCAAGGTTCATCTTTTTTCTATTTGAGCAGTGTAGCAAGCTAGAAATAATTCTCTCTTTGGCAAAAGGGACTGTTTACACCTGTGTCTCTTTGATATCCTATAGTGTCCAAGAAGTATAGCAAAGGAAAATTAGTCTGTCTCTAGAGAGAGAAAGATCTGGGGCATTTTCATTCTGGAAAGAAAGACAAGACCTAAAGATGTAGCCATTTATAAAAGTTTCAAAAGTCTAATCCCCATTCACAGAAGACTAAATTACAGCTGGATTTAATCTTCATCCGGAACTGTGGGAAAATTCTTTTATATCCCTATAAATGCATAAAGAACTAGTCAGATGATTCCTTGGTTAAAACTGGGACATGACATCTTAGTCCCTATTTATGCACTTAATGACTTTAATTAACCAATAAAGAGGGCTGAGAGCTCTGGAAATGTTTGATCTTAGATTGAAAAATAAGATCAAAAACTTCCCGATGAATGACATAAACATGTTACAAAAATTATCTATGTTCTTATCACCAAAGGCAATGTTGAGCTTTTTGTTTAATTCTACTTTTTACGATAGGTAGTGCAAACTGAAGAGTTCTATAAAATAATTTCGAATCCCTATGTACCTCCCTTGGGATACAAACTTTCCATGAGAGTTTTTATAAAAAATGTTATTTATTTATTGATTGATTAATTTGATTTGTCAATCGCTTACAAAATAATAGGTATAAGTATAAACATGAGTAAGAATACAGAAAATAGGTACGATTAAATGGGGACAATAGGACAGGGATGGGAGGCACAATGGTGCACTTATACGCACCCCTTACCTCTTTGGAATGGGGTAAGGTCAATAGTGGATAGTTTGAGGTTAAAGGAGTGGGGGGTTTGAAGATATAACTACAGAGTCAGGTAGTGCATTCCAGGCATTGACCACTCTGTTGCTGAAGTTGTACTTTCTGCAATCAAGTTTGGAGCGGTTAATATTGAGTTTGTATCTGTTGTGTGCTCTTGTGTTGTTGTGGTTGAAGCTGAAGTAGTCATTGGCTGGTAGGACATTATAGAATCCAAAACTCCTACAAAAATTTACAAAAATGTAAAAATCCAAAACTTTTTTGTTGACAGCAAAAAGGCTAATTGTTATTTTCATCACGATTAAACTCTATGTACTATTTTGTGTCTGCAGTAAATTTTATTCCACTCCAAACTGAGAGCGAAAAAATATATTTCTTAAAAACTACAAATGGTGTGTTCTCTTTGATTCTCTTTGGATAACCATTTGCTTTCTTGCCTCCCTGCTGTAGCAAAGAGATCTGTGAAGCAAATGAGACTATCATGTGCCCCATGTGTGAGAAGAGCTGCACACTGCAAAAGCTCAATGAAAGCTGCATCTATGCAAAGGTAACTGTTTTTCCATGATAATTGGTTTTTGTTTCCCAGAGAGGACTTCGGTGAACCCAGCAAGGTGGGCTAGAATAAGAGACCAAGGCCATGTAGGTCAGGACTAGTCTTATTGTAACAGCTGTAATAAGTGAATCTTGCAATCCTGAATGTGCTTCCCTCTCTCTCACTATATGAACTCGTGGGTTCGTAGAGTGAGCTTTTGGGTCCCCCATCATTGGAGGCTTTCAAGAAGAGATGGGACAACACTTCTCTGAAATGATATAGAACTCCTGCTTGTGCAGGGAATTGCACTAGAAGACCTCCAAGTTTCCTTCCAATTGTTATTCTATATTCTATGCTCTAACTAGGAAGGGGCTACTCTGAGATGTTTTCTCACCATCTTGCTCTAGGCTCAAACCCCTCTTATCTGACCTTAATAGTGGCTCTTCCTCCTGTCCTTTAAAGCCATTCGCTCCCTTCCCCAGCTTCCATTGAAAACTATTTGTGTTATATTTTCCTCCTAATATCCAGAATCGCACTGATCTTTAAATAGCACTCGATCATGCCATGTCATTGTGTTCACTGTCTCACCAGAGTCATGGGCTTGGTTGACAATAAAATGTTTGTGATAGAATTTAAAGGTAAGATCAATCCGGGTGGGTCAATGGGACCAGAGGTTTAGTCTACTGAGCGTTCGGACTCATGCTGAGGACCATCCCCCAGGGAACTTCTCTCTCTCACCAGAATGTGTGCTTTGGGCTATTCTATGTGTCATATTTATCAGATTATACCTCCTTCCTAATTCACAAAGTGAGGGAGAGAGAAGCACATATTTGTTTGTTTGGTTGTTTGTTTGTTTGTTCTACACCTATAATAGCCCAAAGCACCCATTCCAGTAGAGAAAAGTTCCCTGAGGATGGGCTCCAGCACAAGTTCGAAAACTTGGAAGACTAAACCTCTGGTCCCAGTGATTGGATTCTGCAGCATTATCCTGGGACCTGTATATTTGCCTTCATATATAACTATATTACAGGTAGTCATTGTCTTAAAACAGTTTATTTAGTGAGCATTCGAAGTGACAACAGCACTGGAAAAAAAAGTGACTTATAACTGCTTTTCACACTCAAGACTTTTGGAGCATCCCCATGTCATATGATCAAAATTCAGACATATGGCAACTGACTCATATTTGTGATGGTTGCTGTGTCCCAGAGTCATGGGATCACCTTTTGTGATCTTCTGACAAACAAAGTCAATGGGGCTGCCAGATTCACTTAACAACTGTGTTACTAACTTAACAACTGCAGTGATTCACAAGAAAGTTCATAAAATGTGGCAAAACTCACTTAACAACTGTCTCACTTAGCAACGGAAATGTTGGGCTCAATTGTGGTCAGGACTCTGTTAATAACATGATGTTTGCCAGATTCCTGATGGAGTTGGGAAAGGCAAATATCAATCCTAAAAAGAGCCTGCTTACTTGCTGCTCTGTGAGACAAAAGAACTTTACAGTATAAAATGTATACTGTGAAAAAATAATACACCTGTGAAACATTAGGAAGGTAGTGGAGGCAATGCTTTCAAATCCAAATTTAGTTTTCAGACAGCCAGTAAGTTATTTATAGACAATCCTGCTTTGGATAATAATAGTTCGTACATATTTTAGCTCTTGATTAGCTGATTCCAGAATCATGTAATATTACTGCTTCCAGTTATATATCTGTATTGTATACTTCCTGAAAAATGTGTACAATATCTGTAAAACAAATCTTGATTTGCTTCAACAGTTGGCAGAAATCTGTGGATTTATTACTTCCTTTTGAAAATCAAGACATACATATTTTTATCAAATCTTTGCATGCAAACTCTATAGCAGGGGTGTTAAACTCAAGGCCCACAGGCCAAATGCCCATGGGGAGCATGCACAACCCCTCGCCCCATTTTCAGCCATCAGGGTGCTGGAGGAGGTGTCTCCCTGTCTCCCCCACCACCACCGGCCAGCCCACGGAGGAGAACTACAACACTGATCATGCCCTCGATCGAAGAAATCCAGTTTGACACCCCTGCTCTACAGCAACCAAAACCAGATAAATCATTTTGCAATCATCATTCACATATTGTGGAATTCACAATACAAACAAATTAAATTGATATTCTAATTCCCAAGGAAGGAGTGGTTGCCTGACCTAGAAACCTCATTTCTATTTGTGGAAAGCAAAAATTGGTGTGGAGACACATAGGTGCAAGATGTAGATGGCCTTGCATCATTTGGATTCAAAACCATTGTATCTGCTTTATCTAGTTTCACAGATCCCCTCCCAATTAGGCTGGACCCAATGAAAATAATATCTTTCTCAAATTGAAAACAAAGTGAGCTTCTTGTTTGTGACTCAAGCCAAGCAGTTGAAGCTTATGAGAAACTAATTGCATAACTGTTAATCAGTCCATGAGCTCACTAAAACTAGGGCAAAGTTAAGAGCCTGCGGACAAGAATGTAGGTAGATCAGATCTTCATGAACATGAGATGTGTGATATCAAGAGGTTTCTCTCTTGCTTAAAGGAGGCAGTTTCAAAGAGCAGAGGTACACACGTTTGTGATAAAGCAGAATCAGAGCAGGTTCTGCATCTTTTTGTATTCATCAAATTCAAAATCTCAACAGATACTGCAAGGATTTTAATAAATTTAACATGCAATCCAACTGTATATATAACACAGGGGTGGGCTTCAAAAATTTTAGCAAAGGGTTCTCTGCCCAGTTTCTGGGTGGGCATGGCCTAGTCAGCCTCCTGCACCATGGTAGCGGTGTGTGTGTGTTTTTGCCCTCCTCGGGCTCCAGAGGCTTTCCTCAAGCCTCCAGGAATGTGAAAACAGCCTCCCCGGGTTCCAGAGGCTTTCTGGAAGTTGGAAACGGGCCCATTTCCAACCTTCCTGAACTTCTGGGAGGCCCGTTTTTCGCACTCCCCAAGCCTCCACCCTGTGCTTACCTGCATCCAAAATGAGCCGTGTGGGGACTCCTGGGAGGGGAGGGGTGAGGTGGGTGGGGCCAGCCAGGAGTGGGATTTGGGGGTTCTTCGAACTGCACAGAATCTTTGCTAGGGGCTCTCCTGTACCCCTGTGAACCCCCAGCAGCCCAGCCCTGATATAACACCAATTCATTCTGAAAACAGTCAGAAAACACATACATATTTTATCACTAAAGTGCACTCTTATCTAAATGTTGCACTTCTTTTGCACCTTCTAAAAGACCATTCCCATGTCATTAAGAATGTGAGTGACTCAGCCTTGTGAGACCAGAAAAGAACATTAGTTTAGTTAACGAGCATGCTGATGATCAAAAGTCTGTTGTGAGGAAGCTGAGTGCTAGGCTATGGAATCCTGTTTATCGAATGGTTTCTTTTAAATTCTGACATTTTTGTAATTGGCCTAAGATGAATAATGTGATAGTTTTTTTGAAATATAATGTGCTTTATTTTTATAGTGCTAATATTCTGTAACTATTGCTCAGAGCAGCCTACAGTAATAGCATTTTTTATTTATCATGAACTTACAGACAATCCTCCCTTAACATCCATTCATTCAATGATCATACAAAGTGATGAAGTTGAATATTGAGATTTATAGCCAGTTCTCATAAATGCAGCCCTTGCTGCATTCCTGCTGTCACATTGCAATTTGTATGCTTGACAACCGACTCACGATTACAATGGTTGCAGCATCCTGCAGTCACATAATTGCCATGCACGGTCTTCTGTGCCAGCTTCTGACAAGCAGTCAATGAGAAAACCTAAAGGTGTTTTTTTAGGACTGGACTTTTTGCTTCTCATCCAAGAAGCTTCTTCAGCTCTGACTGTCAGAGCTGAAGAAGCTTCTTGGATGAGAGAAGCAAAACATCTTCAAAGAAAAACAAGAAAGTCCAGTTGTCTCCTGAAAAAACACCTTTGAGGCAACCATGACCTGGATGACTGAGAATCTCCATAGACACTGAGAAAACCAATAGGAGGTTGTAAATGGTGATCATGTGATATTATGCTTAATGACTATCTGGGATTCATTTAACAAAGGCTACAACTGTTGTATGTTGAGCAGTCACATGAGGTCATACTTTGCAACAGCATCATTTAGCGACCAGAGTTGCCAATAATCATTGTTAAGCGAGGGTATATCTACTAAGCAGGGACTACCTCAACCCTGTCAGTTAGGCTGATCCGAGAAAGTGTCTGGGCCTAGTGGACCATAAATTTGGATTTTTCATTTCTAGGGCAATACTTATACAACCACAATATCACCCTGCCTCTCTCTAATAACAGTAACCACATACAGCTGGAGAGGTTCTGTAAAATGTGCCTTTATTTTTCAAAGTTGATTACTTGGCATATGAAGAAGGCCTTTTATGCATTTAGTTGTTTTTATTTATTGCTTGGAAGCTACAATTTACTCCCTTGAGAGCTGTGCTTTGTCCCATTCTCTCTGTTTTCTGGAAAGGAATCAAGACCTTGCTTTGCAGCCAGTCTTTTCTGATGGAACTAATTTATAATAATTGAAGTGTGGTTAAGCTGTTGTAATTGTTCCTGTTTTACTGTTAGATTGAGTTGGCCTATGGGAAGTAGGGAGAGCCATACATATCAAGGAGCAAACAAATGTGGTCTGAAATGGGGAACTGCTTCTTTAAAATTAATTTAAATGATTATATTCTTGATATTTGAAATTAATGGCCCCATTTTTCCCACAAAGTTCCATAATTTTGCTTCAAAAATTGTTCCAGAACAAATTACTTGGTCTGATGTTCTGCATAATAGATTCTGTGTACTGTATACCTTGAAAATTGCTTTGTATTTATGATAATAATTTGCACAAGCAAGCAGAGAAGGAAAAATGTTTTTTTTTTAATTCAAAGAAGTTATATCATGTTTGTATATCTGAGGCTGGAGCTCTAATTAGTTTCACCTTTTTGGCTTTCTTAACATTTTGAGTAGTTTCATTAATAATTTGCATAATTTCCTTTATTTTTTTCCTTTTAAGGTTACATACTTATTTGATAATGGAGGAACTGTCTTCTTTGCCATTTTTATGGCTATATGGGGTAAGTCGTTACTGTTTAATATTAATAATGTAAAATAACAGAAAACACTATATAGTGAGTGGACTTAATAGTTAAAGTAAAATGTAATATGGAAAATTATATTTTAAAACTATTGGCAGGCATTTGGAACATATGACTTTATGGGGTACCTTTACTTGACATGTCTGGAATCTATTTTCTAAAATTAGGGATGAAGGAGAGTAAAATGTAAAGGAAATTCTGCCATATGTATTCTTTGAAGAAAATTTGGATATTCCGTTTTAATGAATTTTGCAGCAGCACAAAGAATAGCACTGTTTCCTAGCATATAACTTTCTTCTAAGAAAAATATCTGCAGAAAATGCATGTATAAAACAAAATATGCTACTGAAATTTGATTCAAATAACAGCAATTAACTTTTTTTTAAAAAAAAAGCACCAATGTTAGGTAATTTACATTTAGAAAAATATCTGTATTCTGTATGAGAAAAGTTCTGTATCGGAAGATGAAGTCAGTCCCTGATGGTTCTGTCTGATTGCTGACACTGGTGGATGATGAGCATATAAATCATATGAAAAACAGATAGATGGCTAAAAAAAAATTAGAGGAAAATTTTTTCAGAAAGATTTATTTGTGTATTTTGTGGGGAAAGGAGGAAATTGTAACTATGGAACTGCTGAAATGTTGAACTTTTTATGGATACTACATGGAATCTTCTTTGAAATGAGAAGCACACATTTAAAAATGCAAGAGAAGCACACATTTAAAAGTGCAAGAGAAACTGGCTTTGTGATGATACAAGTAGTCTTCATTTAACCACAATTAGGATTGGCAACACCATTATTAAGTGATATGGTCATTAAGCAAAACATCACATGGCCACAAAGGTCTTGCAATGTCAGTCCCACTATGGTTGTCAAGTGAATTATCAATGGTTGTTGAGTGAGACATCACATGACCTTGATTTGCAATTTCACTGTTGGTTTCTCCATTGATTTTTGATTTGTTGGGGAAGCTTGCAAAAATGTCAAGCTCACATGACCTCAGGATGCTGCAACAGCCATAAATACACACTGAATGCAAAGTGGCCAAATCATAATCATGTGACCACAGAGGAATCTGCAATGGACGTAAGTTTGAAGACCAGTTGTAAAAAAAAAATTTCAGCACTGTCCTAATTTCAAACAATTATTAAAGAGGGCAGTGTTTACCAAGTTTATATGTGTAGCAAAAACAAGTGAAATCTGCAGGATTGGGGACTTCAATTAAAACGTTTAAAATAAACATCCAGCAGCCAGTAAACCTTTGCAAGGACAATCTTCTGTAAGATACTATAAAACTAAATTAAAATCTTTGTGTTTTTGAGTTCTTATCACTTCTTCTTTATCTTGCATTTAGCCTGCATGCTCTTTCCCAATCATTACTTTCCTTCCACTCACTGACTCTTGGAATCTCTAACTATTGGTGTCTACAGGATATGGTAAAATAAATTCAGAATAGTGGTCACAACAATATCATAAAATTTCTTCCATTTTTATGTGCATCACCATCTTATGTGCTTAGTCCTCCCAACTGTCCCACTTATGTACTAAAATGTGTGTGTGTGTGTGCACATGTGTACGCACCAAGAAAGTCTTGCTATTACTTGACATGCTCTATATGCATGCAGTAAACAAAGAACAAGAATAAGACAATCACTGTCCAGATAATAATCCAAATTTGTGCAGAGAAGAGACAATCAGGCTGTCCCTTCCAGATTTTCTGCCTTGTCTTGAAAAATATCTGTGGGGAACTAAATAACTACTAGAACATGGCTTGAGAGAATAATAAATTTGTCTATTCTTCCCTGATTTTTTTCATGCAACTTCCACAAATCTTCCTGTTTTATCCAAGGTGCTTTAAAAAAATGCTATGTCAGTATAAGAAAAATAAATGAAAATTGAGTCACAAGATACAGACACTTACTTTACTATGTGACATGCTTAGTAAACAATGTATTTATTTTTCACATTTGTAGAAACATTTTTCTGTATGAACCTCCCTTGGCTTTGGGGCTTTCAGAATAGCATCTTTTTCTCACATGCACAATTGCTGAACATGTAGAGGTTTCTCTGTGGCTATTCCCAGCTTTTGCAATTATTTACAAAAGAGGTTGAGCTAGTTTCACCTCTTGGCTGTTGTTCTACTTGCAAACCCAATATTTATTATTTAGGCAGCAGTTTGACCTTTCATTGTTTCTAAAATCAAGAAATTTGATTAGGAGTGTGTGTATGTTTGTGTTTGTTTTAAATTAGGGTTAATTATAGTTGTGTTGTGGACTTTAGCTTCATTTTGGCCAGGAAGACAATTACAATACAATAAATAAATATTGGAATTTTGTCCTTCCATCAAAAGGCACTTACAATACATGAGGTTATGCAATTGATCTTCACCTCAACCTTGTAAAATAGATTAAACAATCTAACCTGGTGAACAGATTAAGCTCGCCAGCCTAAACACATACCTCATCTTATGTAATAAAGCATGTTATCCATTTCATTCCAGAGGTTATCAATGTGCTTGTATGAAAAAGAGCAACAATATAATGATCTTGCTAGTAATAGGAGCCACCATCTGGACTAGTTTCTGTGCAGGGGTGGGATTCAAAAATCCCAGCAACCAGTTTGCTGCCCAGTTGCTGGGTGGGCATGGCCATGGTGGGCATAGTCTACTGGAACTTCCTGTTTATAGCTTCCGTTGGGCCTCCAGAGCCCGGGAGGCCATTTTCTCCCTCCCAAGGGTCCAGAGAGTTTTGCCTCTGGAAGGGCAAAAACTGCCTCCCCTGGGCTCTGGAGTCCCACCGGAAGCCGGAAACAGGCCCATTTCCAGACTTCTAGTACTTCTGGGAGGGTTTTTTTTTGCCCTCCCAAGGGTCCAGAGTCCTCCTCTGGGCCTCTGGGAGGGCAAAAATGACATCCCCCAGGTTCTGGAGACCCACCAGAAGCTGGAAACAGGCCCATTTTTGGATTTCCAGAAGGCCTATTTTCCCCCCTCCCAGAGCCTCTGCATGGACTCTGCACTTACCTCCATCGAAAATGGGCTGCTTGGACACTCCTGGGAGGGGTGGGGCAGGGTGGGTGGGGTCAGCCTATCGGTTCAAATACCAGTTCGGTGAACCAGATGTAACTTTAACATCTGGTTCGCTCAAACCAGTCCAAAACGGTAGAATACCACCTCTGTTTCTTATGTTATAGAAATAATGTATCTCCCAATATAGTAAAAAGAAGCTTTTGATCCAAATTACATGTTTTGCAAGAGTTAAAAAGATGTGGCTATTCTTACAGATCTATCTCTATGTAAGTATTATTGTGGTGTGCATTTACATAAAATCCTCTGCTTTGTTTTAATTTTATATGACTCATAGAGAGAATTCATTTTTTTCAAGTCTGGAAACTAGTGTAAATGCAAGTGACGTGGTTGATTTTAGTTATATGGCTTTAAAATGTATGTATTTTTTTCTGGATTTGATTTCTAAACCAACTTTATTTTGTACAATTCAAGACAGGGTATATAATCCTCCCAACTCTCATCTTCCCCATAACAACCACCCTGTGAAATAGTTTGGGCTGAAAGAGAGTGACTGGCCAAAAATCACCCAGCTGTCTTCAATTCCTAAGGTTGAACTTTTCCAATTCCTAATATTCGGGCTCTTCTGGTTGAGCACCTTAACTGTACACACCTGGCCTTTCTAAAGGAAAAAATATTTTCTATTCAAAGTTATTATTTACATACAATTATAAATTACAAGTATAATTTTGATGAAATTGAAATAAGTGAACTGATATGGAAACAGAAAATGAATTGTCAATTGCTATAATATCAATTCTAATACATTTTACCCCCACTGGGGACTAGAAATGGCAGAAGATAATGATGTTGTTTCAACCTAGAGTAACTAATGCAGGGCAAATGGAATCTTTCACCATTAGTATCTGCATCTGAAAGAGTATCAAAATGCATTTTATCTTTCCTCCTTACCTCCAATTCTCCAGTATGGCTTCCTGTGAACATCTGGATTCCCACCCACTTTGATGTTATGAACCAAGATTGATTCTTGACAAAAGCAAAATTGAAACTATTAGTGTGGTGTGGCAAAATAATATGCATAAATAATCTTGGTTTGGTAACTTGGAATATAATCCCCCTTTCTTCCCTTTAGGTAAAATCAATTCTGAGAGATATTTTTTTTTAAAAAAAGTGGCAGCTTGTTCTCATTACATTTTCTATGTAGTCCTTTTATTAATTTGGCTTATGTTCTAAAGACATGGAAGCCTTAAAATGATGGTGAAACAACAGGACAAGAAAGCAAATGGACACACTATTTTAAGATACTAGAAAGACAGTAGTTTTTAGAGCATGTTGAGTATATGCCTTTTTTGCTTGAAGATGTTCAAGTGCCATCTTTTTGACAAAATTACCTTTGGCCAGAAAATGCTTTCAGTTTGAAGCAGTTTGAAACAATCCTGATATGCTAAAATGTGACTGAAAATAGACCCACAGCACAGCTTGTGTCCAGCAAAAACTGTTGGCTGTATTTTAGTGCAAATGTTTTGAACAGCAAAACCAAAGCTTCAGGCAATAGTACATAATGACAGAAACCAGGGCAAGCCACTAAAAGGCAAAACCACAGTGACATATGATACAAACCTATCCTTAGATACTTCCATCCTGATGCATGATGCAACAGTACATGTGCTGTGGTATTGCTGAATGCTGTTCTAAAGGCCCAAGAGAAGCAAATTTATTCTATTGAAATACAAATCAGGTACATTAGCCTGGCTTCCCTTTGAGGTTATATTAGTTTATCTACAAAAAAATAATTAAAAGCTTTGAAGTTGATTATTCTTCTGCATGATTAAGTAAGCATATGGTTTATATCTCAGGCTGCATTATAACAACTGGGCTGCATTAACAGATGGATACAATCAAGATCATGTGAATTATTGCTTTATAATGCCTTAGAAAGATCACATTTGGAATATTGCACCCAGTTTTGGAGTTTGGGTGACCATAATATAAAAGAACATTGAGACTCTAGAAAGAGTGCATAGAAGAACAAAGATTATTAGGGGACTGGAGGCTAAAAGAGATGAGGAACAGTTGCAGGTATTGGATATGTCCAGTTAATGAAAAGAAGAATTAGGTGGTGATATGATAGCAGTGTTCCAATATCTAAGGGGTTGTCACAAAGAGGGAGTCAGCCTATTTTCCAAAGCACCTGAAGGTAGGACAAGAAGCAATGGGTAAAAACTAATTAAGGAGAGAACCATCCTAGAACTATGAAGAAATTTCCCAACAATAGAACAATCAAACAATGGAATGACTTGCCTCCAGAAGTTGTGGGTATACCAACACTGCAGGTTTAAGATGAGATTGGACAACCATTTGTCTGAAATGGTATAAGGATTCTTGTTTAAGCACTAGAAGACCTCCAAGGTCCCTTCAAACTCTGTTATTCTGTTAGCTTTCCTTTATTGCCAGCTTGATGTGCTACAGATGGAGCTCCAGTTCCTTGGATTCCCAAATAACCTGAAGTTTGGAAAGTTGGGCAGTTATAATTCCAGCATATTTAAGAAACATCACTTTGGTGAACATGGCTATTGATTCTAAATTGACCTACCAATAATAATTAGATTATTTGGTAATTTATTTTTTAGATAATATAAAAGAAAATTAGGGTGCTTTGCTACGGTTTTAAAAAAAACCTGTTATATAACAAAATTACTTTCCTCCTAAATCCGGGAAGGGCATCTTTTCCTCTTTTTCCTTTCTTTTTCCAGAAAAGCTGGAGGGTGATCTGGTGATGACACTAGAATGGGCAGATATGAAATTGTAAGCTTATTTTTTCCCAATTGGAGCAAAGTATAGAAAGAGAATACTCCAGAGACTTGATTATGATTTATGAGAGAAAATTTTTTTAAAAAAAAAATGGAGAGAGCAATGTTGCCAAAATTTATTACTTTGGCTGCTGAATTTAAGCAATGCCATGAAAATAGTTTACCTGCTCAGTATTAAACAATCAGTTCCTTGAAGAATGTGCTCAACTCTGAATGTCATTAGAATTAGTATTTGGAAGGACAAAGGGGATTTACTAGAGTGTATATTATCACTAATATTGTGATACTAGTCTAATTTCATTTAAAGCCTGAATTGAAAAATTGATGTTCTTTAAAAGGGTGAAAAATCTCTTTTGTCCAATGTCATGTTTTCGATGGACATTAGCACATATTTGGGGGATATTATCAAGCAGAAAAGTTCAAAAACAAAGAAAGGATACTTCAGATTAAGATCAAGAAGTCATTGTTGTGAAACTGCCAGCATTTCTTCTAATGGGTTAGCATATATACATGCACTCGCAAAGGAATGATAAAAAGAGTATGACATGACCTGCAATCATTACTTCTTACACACATTCAAATGTTATAGGAGCCACAAGAAGGAACAAGATCTATATGTTTTTAATTCTAACATCTGGCTTTATGCATTTCTGCTGAAGGCTGTGATGATATCATGTCATCCATTGGGATTGCATTGTATGATGTTTCTTTGTGGTTCTGGACAGGGTTCTCATTGGCTACCATGGGATTGAAGTAGGATAGCTCTCCAAAGTTTGGGTTGAAAGGTTCAGGTATAGCATCTAGTCGTAGAACTGCAAAAGACACATTGACAATATTTACACATGTTTTTAACAATACATCTTTGGACAGAATGTTAAAGACATCATGTAAGTTCTTTTAGTCATGAGTTCAGCATATAACAATATACAATACATTAAGTTCAATATATACATGCAATTATGTGGATACCTCCAATGTATAAAGATATCTTTTAGGAAATGCTTCTGTCTCAGGTGACTTGGAATTTTATACTCATTAAATAATTAAGTAATTCATTCATTCATATCTCTCAATTGCAAAAGTCCATCTCTCAATTGCAAAAAAAATATATGTGGTACTGCACCTACTTAAAAACTAAGCACAGGAGAAGTAGGAAGTTTGGAAAGAAGCCCATCAGATATGCCCTCTCATTCATGATAAAACTGTAGAGAGAAGCCTTATTGCAGGCACACCTGTCATTTCACAGCAGCAACTAGAAATCAAGGTCTTCAAACCAATGACTTCACATTTGGGATGAGTTCAAATGGCTGAAGAGCTGACTTGGTATGATACTTCAAATCTCTTCCCCAAGAATAACCTGACCTCTTTCTTCTACCATATTTCCCTCTGCTCATCTCAAGTTTAATATTCCTACCTGCCCACAATCCCATCAACTCCAACCTTTCTCATTCAGCTCACCTGGTCCCACCATCAGAGCCACCACATACATCATATGCATCTAGCCCACAGGAAATCCCTGATACTACTTCTGCAGACAATTCAGGAGATCCCCTCAACTCTGTAAATAGTCTAACAATTGGACCTCTGTAAATAGTCTAACAATTGGACCACCCGTATATCCTCATTTGCCAGCTGGAAACCCCTATCAACAGGATTCCCATCAGTAAGCACCTCACAATTGGACAGGAAGCCATCCCCAAGTCCTTGGTTCTTTCTGAGCTTGATTGTTTTCTTGCAAAAGTTTCATTACCAAATTAAATAAAATCATTATCCCTTCCTCTCTGTCTGTCACCCAAAGAGTGCCAACTATCTTTCTTCCTTCATATCCCCAATAAAATTGCTCTACATGGTAATCCACCTCATACTAACACAGACTGAAGTTCTTTGCCAAGAAAAGTTAGAAAAATAATCCATTACAAAGTGCCGCTATTCAAATGAGCAGGAGTATTCAAGGTGAAATGAGAGTAAAAAGACTGTTTTCAAGCCACAGGTCAAAGCCTGAATTTGCAATATGAGCGAAGTAACAACCGACATCTATTTCTACCCTCTAAATATATTACTGTCACATTTTGGAAATAGAACCACCAAGAAGTATTGATGAACCCTAAAGCAAAATGGTTTTAGCTAAGGTGACCAACCGTCCTCCTTTAGGGAGGACAGTCCTCCTTTTGTAACTTCTGTCCTCTCTCAAAAAGTGTCTTCCTACATGTCCTCCTTTTTGATATTTGAAGACTAATCTGTAAATCTCCGTATTTGATTGATGCCAAGCCGATCCATTGTGTGTGATGTGACATATTTGTATTTGACATGACGATTCATCAAGGCTTGGTACAGTGCGGCGAGATGCAATTATGAGATGCATACGCTTCACACAGGAGAATTGTTTGGAGAGTGTGCCGCACGCAAGAGTGCACCGTATGAAAGAGTGTGCTGTGTGCAAGTGGCTTTTTTTTCCTTCAATTTATTTGTGTCCTTTCCATTGTAAAAAAGTTGGTCACCTTATTTTAGCTGGCATAAAGAAGAAGAGGAACTGAACATGTAGATATTGTATAACTTCCTTTCCTTCTCTTTCTAAAACATATCCTTTAAAACAGGGGTGTCAAACTGGATTCCTTTGAGAATTGGATCAGCATTTTAGTTCTCCACAGGCAAACGGGGGGGGGGGGGGGGGGGGGGGGGGGAGATGGGACAGACACCTCCTGCAGCACCCTGCCAGCCAAAATGGGGCATGAGGGAGCCATGTGCGGGCCTTCCCCACACCTCATTTTGGCTGCTAGGGGAACCACAGGCTGGTCCTTTGCTATTTCTAGGTCAGATTTAAGGACTCTTCAGTCACATCCAGCCCACGGCCTTGAGTTTGACACCCCTGTTTTAAAATGACACATCTCAAAACCATATTTTCAAACCACAAAATCTATTTGACTCTTATGACTCTATTTCTTGAGCTGGATTATTACCTGGATCATTTCTTGTGTCATCATAAAGTCGCTGATGTCCAAACGATTCAGGTTTTCTTTTACCACAGATTAAATATCCAACCAGGCCAATCAATGCAGATCCTAACATTGCTCCTACAATTGTTCCAAATATTACCCCTCCATGAGTATGACTTTCTGGAAAACAGATAAACATAATCATCTTCATGAAAACAACATCTGGTACTAATGAAAATTTGTTTTGTTTTGTTTAATTCAGAACTTTTCAGGAATAGATACAGATAAAGGTTTAAATGAATGCTTGTCCTAAACATTTACTCCTGCATTTTCTTTGGTTATTTAATGAAAAGGATATATTTTTCCCTTTAAAAAATCCAGAGGCAAAGATAATGTGGAAAGGTTTATGTTAAGGGGAAAAAATATCATACCAGGTGGCTGAGGACTAGGTATGAATGTTCTAGCTTTCTTTCTACAGTCATCTCTTGAGCAACCCACACTCTTCCTTGGAGTTAAAGCCGCATGGAAAAAACCCAAGAACTCAATTCTGTATTTTGTTTGGATTCCTCCAATACTATATTAAGTAAGGTAGTCCTCAATTTACAATCTCAGTTGGGACTGTAAAATTTGTTATTGAGTAGTGTGGTCATTAAATGAGGCATCAGTGAATGCAGCCAGTTTTACAACTTTTTTTTCACTGTCACTTAGGGAGACATCATGAGTGGTGCAGTGGCTAGAGGTGGAGCTCTCGCCTCACAATCAGGAGGCTGTGAGTTCGATCCTAGATAGTGGCAGATATTTCTTTCTCTGGGCACAGTGAGTAAATATCAGTCGTGAACTTTGCATTGGCGACAGAAAGGGTATCCAGCCAGTAAAAACTCAGCTCCATTCAGTTGCCCCAACTCCATCCCGATGCAAGGGATTATGGGGTTATTAACAGACAAAAAAAATTAGGGAGACATCATGTCACCATGAGTTGCAACTCCTGCTGGCTTCCCCATTGACTATGGTTGTCAGAAACCAGCTGGAAAGGTGGCAAATGGAGATAATAGACCCTAAGCATGCTGCAACCTACATACATGCCTACTGGTTTTTAAGCATTCCAATCATTATCAGTGATGGTAAGGACACTGCAATGGTCATAAGTGCAAGGAGCAATCATAAGTCACTTTTTTCAGCACCATTGTAATTTTAAACAATTGCTAAACAAATGGTTGTAAATCAAGGACTACCAGAAAAACTGTTGAGTGATTGCAAAGTGTCTGTTACTGGGGAAAGAGGGATGAAAAAGAGAAGCCTAGAGGAAGGTCTTTGTGGATCATTTTGGCATAATTACTAATTTAAATCTGAATTGCATAGCCTATGGCTTTTCAAAGATTCAAGCCATGTGCTGTGAGCATAGCCTTGGATGTGGCCTGAAGATTCTGTCCAAAAGTTGCCACTTGATTATGTTTAATGAGGCAAAGGAAAAATGCTTAAATATGGGATAAGAAGATAAACTTCAATCCATCTAATTAGTTTGGTAAAAATATACATGCTAGTAAAATAAAATGTCACTATCCCTTTGACGATGCTCTGAATGAAAAAAAAAAAGTTTAAAAATTTGACAGAAAAATAATTCTCACCTAAGAAAAATGAAATCTTTCTTAGAATGCTTTGGACAAGTCTACACAAAAACTACAGTTATATACCAACAAGAGTCAATTTTCATGAGATGGATGGATATAAATTTGATTAACAAATAAATAATTTTCACTCACCCAACAAAAAATGAATCTATTTGTTTTTAGAAGAGTAGTACAGACTTGTTCCATTCTATTACAATGATGCTAAATGTGTTGAAATTTTGGTAAGAACATTGATTGATTCACTCATAATTTTGATTGAATTAAGAACAGGATTACTTAAGATAATATATTTATCAATGAGATTCCTTTATAATATTTGTTTTCTACAATATAAACAGTGCTTTTTCTAAGAATTGCTTTTAAAGTCAAATGACAACAGTAATAAGCTGTCTACTGTACATGCAGTACAATTGCATAATTCATAGCATTGGGTGGTGACATTAATTAAGGACAGTTAATTTGCTTACCTTTCGATGCTTCTCTTGCTTCTGTAGAACTATCAGTTGCTTTGGGACGTAGATTTGCTGTTGTTGATAATTCAGTTGTAACAGCACTATTCTTGGTAGTTAGCAACATACCTATTGTACTTGATAAATTTTTATTGGAAGGAAATGTTAAACCATCCACTTGAGTTGTGTTATGGAAAACCATGGTTGTGAAACTGATATTAGGAATGGTTGTGATGACACTGTTTGATTCAGTTTCAAATGACTTGAAATAAGTGGTGGCTTCATAACTTCTAGAAGTATTTGCAGGTGTCCCCGAAGAGGATATCCTATGCTTTACATCTTTTGTAGTAAAAGTTAGTGGATGTGTTGTTGGTAATAATAAACTGTGAAGAGTTGATGTTGGGGTCAGGGTTGAGATGGTCTTGTTGCTTGAAGTATTGCTTTCTGTTACAGTACTGTAATTTGGATTAGCACTGATATGTCCTGGTTCTGTAGACGTTCTATCAGAGGTCACATTAAATATAGTTGGACTCACAGGAGTGCTGCTTACACTGCTTCTTGAAGATGTGGGATTCACTGCATCTTCACTGTAATTTCTGGCCAACTGCAGACTAATCAGCAGCAAAATGAACAATGTGCCCTCAGTTGTTGGCATTCTTTCACAGCCTTGATATTTGTTTCTTGGTATACAGTGCCTAAGGGAACATGTTTAAAAATTCATTTGAGTCATTGATGAAATTTAATATATTCACAGAGAATATCTTCCTATTCTACTGCTGATATCCTGAACGGGACAGGAAATTTCAGTAAATCAGTAATGAAAAGTTTCACTTGTAAATGTGAATTGTTTATACATTTTTCCATACATTGGAAACTAATATTTTCTTCTATGTTTTGCATACATTCAGGATCTGTGTAATTAAAAACATGGTATCCAGGTCAAATTTCCTGATATCCTAGGGAAGGTCTGTTCCATTGTTATGTAGCATGTTAACATAATGTTTATGTATTTAGTGTCACCTGCTTTCAGAAAACTATAGTTGAGGGGAAGGGGGTATATGACTAATTTCATAGCCAGGGACAGAGGCAGAGGCCTGTTTGAAGGTGCTTCCATTGAATATAAACCAAAGACATGCACATGAACCCCATTGATAATAAATGCTAAAATTACACTCCCAGCTCCCTTTCTATTAATATACTTACAACAATCTACTAATGGGTCAGGTTTACTGCAATCTGTGATTATATTTGGAAGCAATCTAACCCAATGTAATGAGATCCTGGTAGGGATGCATCTAATCATCTTAATCCATTTTACATTATTTTTACATGAACTGTAGTATATGTCAATTCTCTCAAATATTTCTATCATCCTTTAGTGTTTTTGTTTAATGCAGCAAGATCAAAAATGTATATGCAGTATACTTCCGGCACATAGAAGCCAGAATATATTTATCATCTTTTGCATGTTATGTTTTATAATTCACCATCATTTCATATAAATCTGTGTGCTACAAGAAAGTAGCATCTGTAACCAATTTATTCTTTATTAAATTTTAGTCCCCATCTTAATTTGAATACTGTGACTATTTTTCTCTCACTCTTCAAAATATTTTTTTCATGTTACCTGAACAAATTTATGAACAAGATTCAAAATCCACCATTACTCTTTTTTGGGTTGGTAGGTATTTAATCCTGTATTTCTCCATATTTTCTACATATTTTTTTTTTTTACTTTTGCCATTATACATTAACTAAAAATTAATTTCTGTCAACCTCATTTCACTGCTTTTGCTTTCTGATATGGACTTAAGCAAAAATGAAATGAAAACAATCAGATTTTTTTTTGAATTGTGAATAATTTCTCAGCCTAACATGAGATGTGTGTTGCACTTCCATTTATATCCAGTCCTATTTTCAGCATATGTTTAATACATCACAGACTATTTTTGTGAATGCAATCAGACTACATTTACAAAAGGTCTCATTTTACTGGCTTGTAATTATTTTGTCACTCTAGCCAGATACATTAAAAACTAATCATATGTTACTGTTACTTTTAATGTGTATTTTATCTAGCTAGTTCTATTCCAAATGTAACTATTATTCTAGTTAATTAACTCAAATCATTTTAGTTATTTTTTCCCATAAGTGAAATTATTCAATATACAATTAATGTGCTTAATCTGGGTGACAATTCACAGCCTGAATGATAAAATTATTTGTCATATTCTGTACCTATTAGCCATAGCTGATAACAATAAAATCACAAACAGAAAGAATAAAAAATTAATGTAACCTTTTATGTTTTGTCATTTAATATTAACATATTCAAAACACATTTTTGAATTTTGCCCAAATCTTTCCTTTGTACATGAAAGCAACTGGCAGTATAAAATGAAGTTTATGCATTAAAAAAACAAGCTGCCCAGAGTTACCCTGAGGTAAAATGGGAAGCCTATACATTTATAAATAATAAAATAAATTTATTTTCCTCTAAAAGTGTTATATACACACATGCACACACACAAAACCACACACACACACACACACACACACACACACACACACACACCATAGCAACATGACATTAATCATCAATGACCTGAAGAAGGTTCCATCTCAGGCAGGCTTATGGAATGACTTCAGAGTCAGCGCCAGTCTGAACTTCGGGAGAAAGCTATTTCTCAAAGTGGGAGCCGTTACATAAATCATTGTCTAAAGGCCTTACGGTTGTCATCTGTCTCATGTGGGGAATAACAAATGTCCTCAACTGAGATGAGCATGTAGGATGGATTAGTTCTACCTGGACAGTTTCTGGGAGCTAAGTCATTGAGGTCCCCACTGTGTAAGCATTACCTTACTATAGCATTACCTTACTATAACCCTAAAAGTGGGCAACTACATTCTGCATCAATGGCAGTTTCCAAATAGGCTTCAAAGACAACCTCACATGAAGTAAATTGTGGTAGCCTAATGTGATGCATGAGTTTCTGTGGCTATGACTTTAGCAACTGGTGTCTTTAAATTCAGGTCATCTGTTTGTAAATTCTCAGTCTTGATTTGGCTATGAGATGCTAAGCCCAGATCTCAAAGATCATCAGATTAGACTATTACTCCTCTTTCCCTTCAGTGGGACTGTAATAATAAATATGTGCAACAGGAAACTAATTGAAAAAGTAAATAACAAGGAATGAAACCTCTTATTTTCAGTTTCAAATATATATAATTCAAGTCACCAAGAATTAATCCAAGTAAAAAAAGCCCATGTACCACTTCCAAACTAGAGTCACACTTAGACTTTGGTAAGTCTCATAATTGTTACAAGAGTTGGAACAATTTATTCAAAAGATAATCTACATGTCTTTGTTTTCATTGCCATGAAGTAGGAACACACACACTTATCAGTTAATGTTTTTTTTCTTTCACACTGTATAAAAAGAGAATCTAGCTTGTATTAAAATTTTACAATTAAATATAGTCTTATTTTTAAAGTAAATAACTTTAAAGTTCAATACCTTACATGCATGGAAGTTAAAAGGACTAAAATATAATGAACCATGCATGTAAACTTCTGGTTATCGTCTCTCTTTTTTCCTTTTTATTGTTAGTGTTGATTGTCAAAAATTTTTTTTTAAAAAAAACACTATATTATTTCCACTGGAGAAATGTGTGTATATATTTGCACATATTTTTACATTGTTATGAAAAAGTGTGAAACTGCAAATGATGAAATCTAAGCTTTGAAGTTGATAGGCATGGTAATAAAAAAAATTACCCAGCCAGAATGTTGCCATCCAGTAAAAAGATTGTTGGAGTAGTCCTCTAGGTACATGTAATGAAAATAAATTAGCATTTAAAGTAATATTGTGCTACCTCAGCAAGAGTTTCACAAAAGTAGACTTTCTAACAATGAACACACAAAGGAGTTATAAACACAATGTCAGCTAAACATGCTAGTTTTGCATTTCTTTAAAAACCATCCAGAAGTGTGCCAGATCATTTAACTGAACTGGACATGACCTAGCTGACACAAACAGAAGTTTTTCACCAAGCACACTTACAAAAGATGACTGCAAGTGAAATTGCTGAGTGAAAGCCATGAAAAGAAAACCTCTTACCTTTTCAACTCAACAATGTTACAGAAGTGCTGAAATTATTTGCTTCTAAACTGGAGTGCAATTAGCTAAGCCGTCTGCTGAAATGAAGAGAAGGCAAGTAATGGAAATGTATCAATGCTGTAGTGGACAGGAATGCAGAGCAGAAATTAAATTAGGTGGGGCTCTATTTCTCTGGGTGTAACAGAGCACCTGGGAACCAGAATGACTGCTTCTTGGCAGTCATTGTGAAGACATACCATTCATAGAATGTGAAACTATTGAAATTAAGGGGATGGGTAATTTTGATACTTCCCCATTGATGCATGATGTGCAATATGTTCTATGAGAGAAATACTTTCAAACATGAAAGAGAGAGGGGGAAGGAGAGAGAAGGAAGGAGAGGGGGGGAGAGAGGGAGAGAAATATATATATTTAGCAATGATTCTGCTGATTTTGTAATATACACTTTTACTGGTTAGCATTTTGAGCTGAAGATCCAAATGTTGCTGCTGCTGTTATTTTAATTGACTGTCTTTCAAAAAGTTTAAAAAAATAAATTCCAAAATATTTGATTAAAGAACTGTCACTGTTTTAGCCACAACCCACTGTGTTTCAATCTGTTTCAGCTTGAAGCAACATTGCCATTAAACTTTATATCTAAATATTACAAACTAAAAAGGGAACCGATTTTCTTGTGTAATTAAAAAGAAAAAAGAAAAAGAAATCTGCTCTGTATGTCATATTGCTCTTCTTGTCTATCAAGGATTGACATGAGACTAAATGACAAATTATATATGCAGCCTACTAATCAAAGAGAGAAAGCTTTTTGAAGAACAACCCTTTCCTTTTCTCCAGCCCTGTGCACTCTCTGAATTCCTAAAATGTATCACTTCATAGACAAGAACTCTTCTAAATGATGAGCCTTATCAGGGAAGTGGAGGAAAGGAGAAGATCACTCAGATCAGGTGGTAAGCTCTTTCTAATAGGTAGAACTCTGGAGTCCTACTCAGAGCTTGGTAGTTTTCTTGCAGAAGCTTCATTATCAAACAAGGTAACATCTTCAGAGACAGAAGGGAGTGGGGTTTGCTCTTATTTTTATATACTAGCATCTTAGCCTTGTCAGTATTGATAAAAGTGTCCTTGGTTATTGTTTACTACTAGCTTGTTTGTTTGCATTGGTAGATACTGGCATTGGTAGACACTGGCAAACTCCCCTCTCTTTTAGCACCGATAATGTTAACTTATTTGGTAATAAAACTTCTGCAAGAAAAGCACCAAGCTCAGAGAGTATCAGTTCAACCCTAAGCTGCAAATATTCTCTTCTATAAGTAGAACTGTGTATCCCATTCTAACCAAGAATCGTTCTTTTGTTGGGTTTCATGAAGAAGAAAAGACAGAACATCTGCTTTTTGCCTATTCTTTCTACCAGTACTTCTCATGATGTTAACTTTAATCTTTACAGTAGAATAAATCTAAATCAGAGGTCTCCAAACTTGGCAACTTTAAGACTTGTGGACTTCACCTCCCAGAATTCTCCAGCCAGCATGCTAGCTGGAGAATTCTGGGAGTTGAAGTCCATAAGTCTTAAAGATTCCAAGTTTGGGGACCCTGATCTAAATAGACAAGTATTTCTACATTTTTAGAAACATATCCTGTAAGGTATAACTCTATTTCCTTTCCTTTATGTGATGACTTTTCAATGTGTCAGATTATCTACCAGCATAGTCAAAAATCCACTTTGGAAAGGTTATGTTTTTTCTAAATGTTTTGGGAAAAGAACTCACTCAGGTGTTACTGAAATATGCTGGGTTTCTTCTTAGTTAAAATTCTTGAAGTATTTAAGGATACTTCATAGACTACTTCAGATAATTTCTCTGACAAGCTACTCTGCACCAGAACAGGATACATGTCTTTCCCAAAACTGTATAATTAAGAATATTGTAAAGTCTCATTATGATGATTCATGATTCCTTTTACTTATTTATTTTTATGTACTAAATTTCTATAACTATCATCTCAAAATATGACTGCGGGTAATATATACCTAATATGGCATCAAAATGACTTCCATAATTATTGAAATTCAAATACAAAAAGTATAGTAGATAGATCCAGTTCTATGAAGCTGTGCCTTTTCCAGTGTGTAATATTTTAAGTAAATGGATATCCTTTTCTAAGCATCACAATGCCAAAATGAAATATTGAACCATGTTTTAAGTACCACGTTTGCAGGTATGGTATTAGTGATAAAACTGAAGGTATATAGTAAGAGCCCTGTTGGCACAGTGATTAAGTGCAGTACTGCAAGCATACTCTGCTCACAGCCTGGTATTTGACCATGACAAGGCTCAAGGTTGACTCAGCCTTCTAGCCTTCCAAGGTCAGTAAAATGAGGACCCATTGTTGGGGCCAGTATGCAAGTAATGCTTACATTGTAAACAACCCAGAGAGTGCTAAAGAACAACCTAAAATGCCATTGCTATTCTATTCCTCAACTCCTATATTAAAAGCTATAATTAACATTTTAGTGGGAAATACAATTTCTTCCCCAAGATTAGAATGGCCCCAACCCTGCTGGCTTTTGTTTAAATGTTGTTTAAAAGCTGTTAGTTGCTCAGAGTTCCTATAGTGAAATGAACAGCCATTTAAGATGGATGGATGGATGAATTTCTGTCCTATTATATAAACCCCCAATAAAGAATTCAAGATATCTGGGGCAGAAGTTTTAAGGTTTCTTTTACCAGGAAATTTGCCATGGTTAGAATCTCCACCCACCTGTTTTTAATTCCATACTATAAATGCCATAACAAATTCCAGGACACATTGAAAAAGGGCAAGCTCTCTTCTTTAAGGTGACCTACAGGTAACCTGACATGTAAGCACTGCACAATGCTCTTGAGTGAGAAATTAAAAACTTGAATTATATAACATAGCCAAAATGATGTTCAGAAAAAGACGACCAAAGGTCAGTGGGAATCTTCTGCAAGCAGTGCTAAGATGGAAGCGGTGGCTATGGAAAAATAAAATGATAAAGCTTATCAGTGCAGTCTCCAACCATCTTGCCTTTCTTCAATGTTTGTAAGACTGAAAATGTGACCATCGAAGCATTGCCTACTTAAGGACACGTGCTACTCCTCAGCCACATTGACTTAGGGCACCATCTTCTGCTGATGTTGATGATTTGTATTTTTAAAACTATTTGGAAGGAGAGGTGGTATTGATGTCCCCTATGTTTTGGTGCCTCAAATCAGTATGTCTTTGGCCATAGCCTAAAGCCAGCCCTGGGATTATCATTAGATTAGTGGAAAGTCTATAGATATAGCATCTCTTTTTGTTGTTGTTGTTTTTCAAAGTATGACATTTGCAACTTAAAGCTGAAAAATCCATCACCGTGAATTTTCACATGAAAGCAGATATGCAATATTTCTTAACTAGTTCCAAGAACTTCCTTTTACTTTAGCAAATTGAATTTATGGATTTAATAATACCTCACCATTTTCAAGGAGATATGGAAGTTATGCCATATAGGTTTCGGCATAGCTTACATCAATATTGGTTACATATCTTAGAAAACTGAATAACCTGTGCTACAAAAGTATTCAAGAAAATAGATAATTCCATTTTCTCAGAATTATTTTTTGAATTTGGAATTGTGAACCAATACACTGTCAATCGCCTCAGTGATAAGTTATTGACATATATTTCATGGGTTTTTTTTTACAGCTACAGTCTTCTTAGAGTTTTGGAAAAGACGACGAGCTGTACTTACTTATGATTGGGACCTCATAGACTGGGAAGATGAAGAGGTAAGAATCCTTTATAATAGCAGTTTTGATATCAGCATGCATTGGTTTTTCAAGAGTGACAGGTATCCTGCAACATGTCTACCTCTTTGACAGCTAATACTTCAACTTGATTTCTTTTATACCTAATTATTTGAATGTGCGTGTGTGTATGTGTGTGTACACACACACATACACGCACATTCAAATAATTACACACACAAGATTACAGCCTGACAAATGATCATGAATAATAATAGAATGTTGACTGAATTAAGCATTTAAAGAGATAGAGATAGATGATAAAGTTCTTTCAATCACTTTTATAGAGAGAGTCATCTTCGGCTAGATGAGCAGCATACAAGTTTGATTGACAAGCAAGCAAAGAAACAAATAAATAGTTTCTATATTATATTTTCATGCCAGGATCATTTTCTTAGAATGTGTTTCTATAATGCTAGCTTGATTTTGCAGCCAACAGAACTCTAGAATTTGGATGTACATGCATATAGTCCCAGTACAGAGAGACATATATCCACACACAAACATGTCCGGACTAAACTAAAACTTTACAATTGCAGGAAGAACTTCGTCCCCAGTTTGAAGCAAAATATTCTCAAGTGGAGCGAGTAAATCCTATAACCGGAAAGCCTGAACCTTTTCAACCTTTTCCTGATAAACTAAGTCGACTGATGGTATCTGTGTCAGGAATTTTTTTCATGGTAAAATCTCTGAAATTGTTTACTTCTTGTTCTATTCCTTGTTACATTTGTCAAATTAGTCTGATCTAATGAATAATATAGGTAGTCCTCAACTTACAACCACAATGAAGCTCAATGTACCTGTTGCTAAGGGAGACATTTATTGAGTGAATTTTGCCCTATTTTATAACCTTTCTCACCACAGTTATTAGGTGAATCATTGCAGTTGTTAAGTTAGTAACACAGCTGTTAAGTGAATCTAACTGCCCCATCAACTTTACTTGTCAGAAGTCCACAAAAAGGGGATCCCATAACCTTAGGACACTGCAACGGTCATAAATATGAGTCAGTTGTCAAGCGTCAGAATTTTGATCATGTGACCATGGGGATGCTACAAGTCATAAGCGTGAAAAATGGACACAAGTCATTTTTTTCAGTGCTGTTGTGACTTTGAACGATCACTAAATGAACTATTGTAAGTCAAGGACTACCTGTACAGACGAATCACATAATAATGGAGTCAAGTCTTTGTCTTAATGCTCAATTGTATGTGTTTCTTGAATTTTTATGTACCTGCAGATTTCATTAGTGCTAACTGCAGTGTTCGCAGTGGTAGTCTATCGTCTAGTGGCTATGGAGCGGTTTGCCTCTTTCCAGTGGCATTTCATAAAAATGTACTGGCAGTTTGCAACTTCAGGCACTGGAGTCTGTATCAACTTTATAATCATCATGTCCCTTAATGTAGTAAGTTCCTGACTTTTTGGGTATGTGTGTGATAATTTAGATATATTAATAAACGTATTAAAATATAAACACTATGTTTGCTGGTTTGCTATGATCTCAACAAATCTGAATGGAACTGATTCCAGTTTAGAATCTAATTTACTTTTGAATTTCTTCCTGTTCAGATATGTGTAATTGCTCAGTTTTTAAGAAATAACACAGACCTATTTTGATTATGTAAGCTGATTAAAATGCTAAGTCTATCAAAATTAATATCAAGAGCTAGTGTAATAAAAGCTAGTGAGACTAAGGATTGGGATCCTACTGTGTTATGGAATTCAGAGTTAATTAGTTATCTTTCAATGTAATGCCCACAACAATGTTGCCGTGACTATAATGTGAATGTGGGGGAAGATCCTTTTAAATAAATATTTCAAAGGTGCTGTTTTCCAAAAGGCAACCAGGCTTCCTTGGTTTTTTCTTTGAAAATGTTTAGCTTCTCATCCAAGAAGCTTCTTCAGTTCAGAAATTAAGAAGCTTCTTGGATGAGAAGTGAAACATTTTCAAAGAAAAAACCAAGAAAGTCTGATTGCCTTTTAGAAAAAAACATCTTTGGGACAACCATGAACTAGATCAGGGGTGTCAAACTCAATTTCATTGAGGGCCACCTCAGGGTTGTGTTTGATTTTGGGGTGACCAGTTCATTTTCACTCATCTCTGGTGTGCCTTTGGTGGCCCAAGCACTCTGCCAGCAAAAACGGGCTCCCGAGCTCCATTTTTGGTTGTGATGGCTTCCTGCAACCCTCTGCCAGTGAAAACTTTGCTGGCAGAAGCACCATGGGCCAGTCCTTTGCTTTTTCCAGGGTGGTCCCACAGGCCATCTAAGCAGATCCAGCCCCTGGGCCTTGAGTTTGATACCCCAGACCTAGATGATCAAGTATCTCCATAGACACTTGTAAATAAGCCTGAGCTTCTTGAAAGATTTTAAAATACAATGATTAAATTAGTGTTCAACACACAGCCAATTGCTGAATTATCTTAGAGAGTTAACAATAGTTTTCTAGACAGCTTACAATATACCAGCCAAAACAGCTCAAAATGCTTGCTTAAAACCAAAAGCCAGAAGAATGAAAATGCTTTTTAAAAACTAAAGTACTGTTACCATCACAAGATAATCCCTAAGGTATAGCAAATGAAAGTGCTTGGTCTGAAAATGAGATTACAGCAGATGTAAGTCAGGCTGCTTTGCAGCAAGCATTTGCAGTCAATGCCATGGCTGAGGTAGCCATTGATTGATTGCTATCTGCCTTCCTCACATGATAAAGGCACTCATACTTTCTAGCCAAATCAGGCACTAAAGCACTCTCAGAGGGTGAACAAAGAACGATTTGATTCTGCAGACTATTAGTAATAAGATGGGCATCCAAATAGTACACACTAAGGTATACTACGACTGAAAACTAAGTGAGACTTAATTAGCTGGCTGGTACTTCAAACCACATAGTGCAGGCAGTTTGAAACCAGAGGGAATACTTGCAATCTTCACAGGAAGCCTTCCAAAGTTATATCAGAACAGAAAGAGAAAAACATTAAATACATAATTGTAAACTTGTTCTGAATTTGAATGTGGCTTAAATTTTAATAAATTCAAGCCACATTTAGTTTTCATCTTGCCCCTGTTTATTTTCTGGATTACAATTGCTAATACACCACTTGGGGGAAAAAAGAAAAGCACATTCAGTGACATAACATCCACTTCTAAATTCAAGAGCTCTTCAGTCCTTTAACTGAAGTAGGAATTTTTGAAACTATTTGTTCTAATATGTTCACTCTATTTTGATGTAATATTATTTTTGTGCAGTTTAAACACAATGAGACAATTTAATTGAGAAAGTTGCTTTCCCTGAAAAAGATATTTTTATAAATATATTTATCTTAAATGTGTGTGTGTGTTTGTGTGTATGTATATTATTGCTACTACTATTTGCCATCAATCATACCCCTGTTATTAGCTGTATTTTAGACTACAGCATGTTAATATCCATCAAAAGCAATATAAAACTCAACAAAAGAACATGGACATTCTGAAAATACAAACTTTAATATTTGCAGATGCCCACACATCATAAATGTCAGAGAAGGGCAAAATCTGGAAGTTAAATGCAGTCCAATTTGCATTTCAAATCAGGGTCTAACTTCATAGAAGCCTTTCCTGCTGCAGTAAACAAGACTTTAATTAAACATTCTATTTAAAATTGAATTGAGGGGAAACAAGCAAATCGCTTCCTTTGTCAAAATGCTATTGAATTGAATGTAGTTGTGGGATTTCATAGCTATCATCCCCTCTATTTCCATATCTCTAATCTCCCTAAGAACATTACATCTTTAATAGCAGAGGCATTCTATTTTTCTATCCATATTAAGGACTGTATTCCTATGACTGCAGATGATTTTTTTTTTCATTTCAAAATAAACACCAAATAAACAAGCATTGTTACAATTTGCAGCAAGTGCTACATACACCAAAATGTAGGAATGTCTGCAGAAGGTTTTTTTAAATAGCCAATATTTTATTGCAAATATACCACTGAAACCTCAGCCCTTTTTTTAAGGGCGTGAAAAAGTGGTAGGGTTTCAATAGCTGCCATCTTGACTTTTTAGCCCCCTTTCCACAGATGGTCTTTCAGAACTCCTATTTCTCTCCTTGCAAGGCATGAGGAGGTTTGCGCAAAGGCTTGAACAAGAAGATATATTGAGTGAAGCAATGCACGTTTCAGGAAGGCAGGCTTAAAAAAAATGTTTTGTTTATCTCCTTTACTGTTCAAAAAGGCTTTTTTATTCCTGAGGAATTTCAGCAGAGAGATAAGAGTTCAGGGACCACAATGACAAGCTGATTTTGCCTCAACTGTAAATTTTGCTAGGTGGTCATTTTGAAGGAAACTCATCAACGGAATGAGGGTCCGTTGCTATAGCAGTTATCAGTGTTATTAAAATGGTGAAGAATAGATGTGTCATAGCAACCTGCTATTTGTTAACGGCTCTCTGTGTTTATTTATACTGGGGAAATCCATCCTTTACGCCTTTCTCTAACAGTGTAAAAACTATCTGAAGTCTCATAGCTGGAACACAACAAGTACAGGCAAAGCACTCTCCAGAAAGGCAAACCTCTTACAGTTATGGATATACTCCAAGAAACATATATCAGATTTAAATCTGCCAGTCTTCCAGGGTAGAAATTAAAAGTTAGAAGAATGGGTGTGGATTACTCACTTGGACTGATATCTATAAAACTGGAAATTCCAGTTTAAAATGTATTCGATCTGCAGGCACAAGCACACCATTCTTCACCAATTAATTGGTTAGCATTCTAATGATATAGCATACCTCTCAAGGGCAAACACTTAACACACTCACAGTCCTGGTCAAGCTATTCATAGGCAAGGCATAAGTTGTCTTTGATTTTTTTTATTGTTATAGTAGGAAATATTCATCATTAAGAAGTTGGATTAGAGGTTATTTTTTACACACACTTTTTAGAGCTAAAATCATGCTTTAAAGTGGGATGTTTGTAAAATGTATCTTCCTTTCTTATGTTGGTTTCAGGTATATGAAAAAGTTGCCTATCTTTTAACAGATTTAGGTAAGTAAAGTTTCTTCCAAAAAGCCTTCAGGAGTTGAGGTGATTTTAGTTCCACTGGAGATGTGGCACTGGCAGAATACAGTATTGGCCTTAGATTTTATATTCTATTCTGTTAGGGTTAATCTAACATCTTTATTTTGGGGTTTAAACCAATCAGTCTTTTGAGATTGGAAATACTTATCAAGTAAATAAGAAAGTAAGTTAATAAAGTGTTATGACAGTATTCTATCTTGCTTTATTTCTTCATTGTTCTGCATTGTTCTAATAGTTTCCAGAAGTACAGATATTATCATAAACTGATTACTTGCTCACCACCTTAATGCATTTTATTTATTTATTTATATCCCACCCTTATTATTTTCACAAATAACTGAAGATGACAAACATCTCCAGCACTCCTTCCTTCTCCAGTTAGCCCCACAATTACATCCCTATGAGGTGATTTGGGCTGAGAGAGAGTGTGTCTGGCCCAAAGTCACCCTGCTGACTTGCATGGCTAAGGCAGGATTGTGATTCATGGTCTGTTGCTTTCTAGCCTGGTACCTTAACCACTAGACCAGGGGTCAGCAACCTGCAGCTCTGGAGCCACATTTGGCTCTTTCATCCCTCTGCTGTGGCTCCCTGTTGCCAGTCGGATCCTCAATTGATACGGCTTTTGGTTAAGACAGGTAGAAGAAAAAAGATGCCACACTAGGAGGAGACTCTATGATGGGGGAACTGCCATATTGTCTGGTCGTCTCCAGAATTGAACGGGGATTTCCGGTTAGGAGTTTTGTGGCTCTTTGAGTGTTTAAGGTTGCTGACCCCTGCACTAGACTGAACTGGCTCTACAGTCTGTAGGGCTGTATCCAAACCAGCAATATACCTCTAGGGAAAGAACTTTTTGTTAAAACCCTGAATCTTATCTTGCTAATAATCCTTTGCAATAAGCTAAAAGGGATTGGAGTAACTGACTATCCACCTTTTTTGCATACATGCATAGTTATTCAACTTTGCATTCCTTCACAACTGCAAGCTGTTCCTAATTTTCATTAGGATTACCAATCCTGGGTTCCAAAAATCTGAATGAAACAGGGTGACAGCAAATGTTACAGCTTTCTTCATCTCATCGCTGTCACCTAGCCCAGACCTGAACACCCTAATTTCAAGAGGAGTTACATTTAATATTAACAATAAAGGATTTTAAAGACTAAAAACACTCACAAATAATAGGCATCAAACACAAAACTGTCCATTCTATTGAAAATGATATTGAATATCTAATTAGTAAGATTCATCCAGGTATCCAATACACTGAAGAAATTAATGGTCACAGAATTATAATAAATTTCTATTACAGTCCTACATTAATGGTAATACATTTAGCATTGAGTTCCATGGATTTACTACCAAGAATACAGTTGCTTGGATATATATATATAGAGAGAAATGTATTGTATTGGCAAATATTTTATATCTGTTTGTTTGATGTATTTGTATACCACTATAATCTCCTTCCACGTGAGAATGTACCAAGGCTCCCAGATTTTCACTATAGATCGATTTTATGGCTAGAATTTAGAACTGTATTCTTACCATTCCAAGTTTCAGATTTGACTTAAGAGGAAGATTGAAATCTAAATGGTATGTGCTTAAATTGTTTTGTTCTTTGACGGTCTATGATGGAATTTTTGTTGAGACTTTTTGTTTTCTTTTTATAGAACACCCCAGAACAGACTCAGAGTGGGAAAACAGTTTTGCTTTGAAAATGTTTCTTTTCCAGTTTGTCAATTTAAACAGTTCTATTTTCTACATTGCATTTTTTCTTGGAAGGTAAGTTAACTTAAAGTGAATTGAGAAAATATTTTTGTGATGTATTGCCATTGTTTTTAGAGGGTTGACAATGCCCTTGGACAGTAAAGCATGCTTCACAATCCAGTGCCTAAATAGAAGGGAGGGAGGGAGGGAGGCAGATCAGAGGGAGGGGAGGGGAGATGTGATAAGTGTACACTTGCATATTTCACTACGTATCTATTACATGGTATACACATGTTTGAAACTCAGATAAGTATTTATATCTCTCCTTCATTTGTTTTTTGCTTACAAAGCAAATGACCCACTACTTGAGATCAATAGATTGCCCACAGAGATAAATGGTGTAAATTATATTTGGTGAATACATATTGTAATATGGGAATTGCATTCACAGACATCTGTTTCTAACTGTATTGATGAAAAATGGGCACTACAGTGTGCAAGTATATAAGAGACAGTGTTTGCCCTGTACCATTAAAATTTGTTTTTCTCACTTGCCTCCTCTTGCAGATGCTAGGATTGCGTTGTTTCAATTTTCTTGATTGCGTCTTTGTTCCTCTGCCAATTACAGTCTCTAACTCCTGGCTTTCTTCTGTATGAATTTTCATGCTCTATTTTGTACATATTGTTCTCAAACTCCTTGACCCTCACTGCTGTTTCATGGAAAGTTACAAAAAGCTATGCCATTGTCTATGCTCAGACTGTTAGATTCAAATAATGTAAATAATTTCACAATAAACACCAGAAAAAACTAGAATGGAGTGCTGTCAATATGCATCACAACAACTAAGGTTATGATCCATCTCTTTCACTGGGTTTTCTAGAAGTTATTTTTATGTTAGTATTATAAGATATGTACACAATTTCAAAATCATTCTAAACTAAGCTTAACCTTTTCTATTTATCAACTTGTAAAAATTTTCTCTTCATGCTACATTTTGTTGAGGAACAGAAATCTTATCTTTCAGATTTGCTGGTCGTCCTGGAATGTACAACAAACTTTTTAACAAATGGAGATTAGAAGAGGTAATAGTATTTCTTATTCACCCAGTTTTATCTTAATTTACAAACTACTGCCTTTTAACATTAATTTTCACAACTGTTCGTTTCTTTGGTTGCTGATAGGCTAAATACTTCTGTCTAATCTACAGAAAAGAAGGACGAGGGTAACATGCTAGCAGTATTCCAGTATTTTAGGGGCTGCCACAAAGAAGAGTGTGGGGGGGGTCAACTTATTTTCCAAGGCAAAAAAAAAGCAGGGCAAGAAACAATAGATGGAAACTAATCAAGGAGAGAAGCAACCTGGAATTAAGGAGGAACTTTCTAACAGTGAGGACAATTAACCAGTGGAACAGCTTGCCTTCAGAAGTTGTGGGTGTTCCATCACTGAAAGTTTTTAAAAAGAGACTGGACAGCCACTTGTTTGAAATGGTATCATGTGTCCTGCTTGAGTTGGACTAGAGTTCAAGTTCCCTTCTAGCTCCATTCTGATTTATGACTTATGCTTTTTAGGGCTGTCAATCTTGTCAACACTAACTTGATGACTCATCATAATCACAAATCATGTTTTGTCCTATGGATGGCCATGTAAATATGATAAATAAATCATCAAATGATATAAAATTATTTGCCTGATATAACAAATTAATTACTGTGATTGAACTGCCTTGAAGAATGGCTTAAATTTAAAAAAATATATTTTTATTTTAAACTAACTTTTTCCCATAGTGTCATCCAAGTGGCTGCTTAATAGACCTCTGTCTGCAAATGGGTGTAATCATGGTTTTAAAACAAATGTGGAACAATTTTATGGAACTTGGTTATCCGTAAGTATGATGCATAGCATTTTTATATTTCTACAAAATAAAAATATTTTTCCTGTTCCTGCAAATTATGCTCTTTGCTAATTTTGATACAGACATGGTTGCCCCCAATTTTCAGTGAGACCTTTTTGTTTCTGGACTTATTAAATAAAAAAGATGCAGTGGGTTTATACATGCACACATCCATGAATGAGACAATATGTTCAAAATAATGATTTAAGTATATGTTGAATAGTAGTTGCACAAACAGGGATCTCCTTTCTTTAGGTGGTCTAAGGAAGAGAATGATGAATCCAAACATCATTTGGTGGGGGGGGGGGGAATCCTGCAGGTGACACTACAGATTTCATGCTCTGTCTATCTAATGTAGGTTACTCCAGAATTGGTGGTCACGACGCAAGATCAAGAAAGGAGGTCAGTTACTAGAGCATAAAGTGTCCTTATCTCAGTGGGAAAAAGATTGGAATCTACAGCCCATGAATCTCCATGGTCTAATGGATGAATATTTGGAAATGGGTGAGCATTATGATAGAAAAGAAGATGCTTCTTTTGTTGGGTGGTAGAGGATTTACTTACAAGTTTTCCTGTTTCTAATCATGTGAACTTTCTTTCTAGTTCTCCAATTTGGCTTTACTACAATCTTTGTTGCTGCTTTTCCACTAGCACCTTTGCTGGCTTTGCTTAATAATATTATAGAAATCAGGCTTGATGCATACAAGTTTGTCACACAGTGGAGGAGGCCAATGCCTGCAAGAGCAACTGACATAGGTGAGATTTCTCTATATGTAATCAGTGTGTTGCCAACGTTAGACTTCCTCAGCAGAAATAATATGTCATTATGGATCCATTGCAATTTTTCTTACTGTGAATTTTTTGAGGGCAAAATTACGTTTTTGTAAAACGTAATGTGCATTTTATAAGTCAGTCACATGTGCATAGATTCCAGTGTGGTTTTTCATTAATAAAACAAATGATGTTAGGTAGACTGAAATGGGAAGAACAGTAGTTTTGAAAGACTTAAAGACCTTGAACAAGAGACCCTTAGAGACTTACCTCTGTTTATTTTATTTATTTTATTTATTTGATTTGCCAATTGTTTACAAGATAGTAAGTATAAGTGTATACATAGTTGTGGATACATGAAATGGGTACATATAAGAAAAATAAAAGAATAAGAGAAACAATAGGACAGGGACGGTAGGCACGTTGGTGCACTTATGCACGCCCCCTACAGACCTCTTAGGAAAGGGGTGAGGTCAATAGTAGACAGTCTAAGGTTAAAGTTTTTGGGGTTTGGGGAAGAGACTACAGAGTCGGGTAGAGTATTCCAGACATTGACCACTCTATTGCTGAAGTCGTATTTCCTGCAATCAAGTTTGGTGCGGTTTACTTTGAGTTTGTATCTATTGTGTGTTCTTGTGTTGTTATGGTTGAAGCTGAAGTATTCATTGACGGGTAGGACATTGCAATGTATGATTTTATATACCATGCTTAAGTCAGACCGAAGACGGCGTAATTCAAGGTTTTCTAGTTCAAGAATTTCAAGTCTGGTGGTATAAGGTATTCTATAACGAGTAGAAGAGTGGAGAACTCTTCTTGTGAAATATTTCTGGACTTTCTCAATTGTGCTAATATCAGATACGTAATGAGGGTTCCAGACTGATGAACTGTATTCGAGTATTGGTCTAGCAAATGTTTTGTATGCTCTGGTTAGTAGTGTGATATTACCAGAGAAAAAGCTACGTAGGATTAGGTTAACAACTCTTAATGCCTTTTTGGCTATGTAGTTGCAGTGGGCTCTAGCACTTAGATCATTAGAGGTGAGTATTCCAAGGTCCTTTACAGAGCTTGAGTCATCAACAAGTTCTTGACTATTCAGCTTGTATTTTATTTTCTGATTTTTTTTGCCAATATGTAAGACAGAGCATTTATTTGTTGAGATTTGAAGTTGCCATTTGTTTGACCATTCAGATACATAGTCAAGATCTTTTTGTAGGGTAGCAGTATTGTCTGTGGTATTGAACAGCTTTACATCATCAGCGAAGAGGACGCAATTGCTCTTAATATGATCACAGAGGTCGTTTATGTAGAGTATGAAGAGAGTTGGTCCTAGAACACTGCCCTGAGGGACACCACTATTGACAGGTACTGGATTTGATAGGACGCTCCCGATTTTGACCATTTGTTGTCTGTTTGATAGGAATGCTTCTATCCAGTTATTCAGTTGTCCAGAGATACCATAGGATTTTATTTTTAGGAGTAGTTTGTCGTGTACCACTGAATCAAAGGCTTTACAGAAGTCTATGTAGATTGCGTCTATTGCTTTGCCCTGGTCGAGTTGTGTCGTCCATATGTTTTTGCAGTGTAAGAGTTGCAGATTACAGGATAGTTTTTTTCTTAAACCAAATTGTTTATTGGAGAGTAGGTTGTTTGTCTCTAAGTGGAGGATGATGGATTGGTTAATAATTGATTCCATGACTTTACAGGTGACGCAGCATAAGGAGATTGGCCTGTAATTTTCAACTAGGCTTGGGTCTCCCTTTTTGAAGATGGGGATGACTGTGGCTTGTGACCATAGGTTAGGCAAGGAGCTGGTCCTGAAAGATTTTTCAAAGATTATGCTTAGAGGTTTGGCTATGGCAGTGGATAGCTTTCTTAAGAAGTAGGCACATATTCCATCCGGTCCAATAGATAGAGATGGTTTTAGATTGCGTAGTGCTTTTTCAACATTGTCTTCTGTGAAATCGATATGTATTAGATCATTGTTGTTATCTGTGGTACGGCTAGGAAATACTGGGCATGATCCATTGCTGTTTACAAATACTGAGCCGAAGAATGTGTTAAAGATGTTGGCTTTAATGGTGTCGTCGTTGCAGTCTTTACCATCAGGTCCTATCAAGGGAGGGATGGACCTTGAGTCTTTTAGTTTGTTGTTTACAAAATTGTAAAAAGCACGGGTGGAATTGGTGCTTAGAAGGTTTTCCTCTTGTTTAATGTGATAATTGGTGCATTCAGTCTTTATCTGGTGGCATAAATTTTTGTATCGGTTTTTGAAATTGGCAACGTGACCAGATTTGTTTTTCCGCCAGAGTGATCTCTTTTTGGATTGAAGTTTCCTTATTGATATGGGTAATCTGATTTTTTGTTTTGTTTTGGGAGTTGTTGTTGGAACATATAGTTTGATGACTCTTTTGACTTCAAGTAAAAATATGTTGTAATGGTCTTCAACAGTATTGCATCCAGTGAATAGAGATTGCCAATCAAGGGATGAGAGATCGTTGTCTATAAGATCATAGTTGCCTTTTTTGAAGTTACACTTGGGGATTACATCATTGTGGTGATTTTTGTGTGGACGTATGTTGAGACAAAAGTCAATCATATTGTGGTCACTACTGGAAAAGGGTTCTTTAGTTTGTATTCCGTAAATTAAATTCAAACTGTTGCAGAAGATGAGATCGAGGCAGTTGTTTAGTCTAGTGTTGTTGGTAACTAGTTGTTCCAGTCCCAGATTTGTAGTAGCATTATAGAAGGTTGTGTGTATGATTTCAGTTGTACAGTCATTTAGGGTCCAGTCAATATGAGATAGATTGAAATCACCAAGAAGGATAAAAGGGTATGGGCAGGATGCAGCCCATGTTAGTAATGTATTTAGCTTGTTTACATGTTCGATGTCATAATCAGGTGCTCTGTAACATAGTAAGAATCGAATTGTGATATTTAAGGATAGTTCACAGATGATGGTTTCAGGAAGGGCAAGCTCCTGGGTAACTTGGATATTTTTTAGATGTAAGGATTTTTTATAGAATATAGCAACACCACCTCCTCGACGATTTTCACGATCTGATCGGTAAACATGATAGTCTCTTACTGTGGTAATGGAGTCAGGGAGAGATGCACTGAGCCATGTTTCACAGACAAATATAATGTCGAAGTTAGCCATATTTAGGAGGATGAGAAATTCAGGTATTTTATTCACGAGGCTTCTTGCATTGAGTAGTTTGCATTTAAGGCCGGCAGTAGTTGGAATTGAGGTAGTTGGGGGCGTGCGTGCCTAGTCTTGTGTGATGGTGGATCGGTTGAGGTAGGGTTGTGGTTGAGGGTAAAAGCTGAGTATTGGGTTGCGTGGCTTACTTTTGATACAGTCAGCATGGTAGTCAATGTACAGGTCCTTCTCTCCATTGTCTAGACGGTTTTTGAGTTCGATGCTAAAAAGGCAATGAACTGAACCAAACAGGCAGTTGTTCCATTTCTATACTGCCACCATTCAGCTGAGACTGTAATAAGTCTATATAGTATGAAAACACCATTTTTCACGCATGTATGATGTTAGAATTATAAGCGAGGCAAAATGGATTATCATTTACTGTGACAACAAAGGGCAAGTTCACAGTCTGGTTCTGAAAGCAGATATTTATTTCCTAGACTAATTCAAATTAAGCCCAAGACACACAGCATTGTTGAAAATTGCTGTTTAATTCTGTTATGTAACTGGATAAATCTTTATGATGCTTTAACAGCTTTGTATTTAGTCATACTGTAATTCTTTTCTTCTAGGTATCTGGTACGGTATTCTCGAGGGAATAGGAGTTCTAGCTGTAATCACCAATGCTTTTGTCATTGCCATTACTTCGGACTATATCCCACGTTTTGTTTATGCATACAAATATGGACCTTGTATTAACGAAGGATACAGACAGGAAAAGTAATTCTGCCTTTTGCTATACTTTTTTTTTTTAAACGGATATCCTAACTTTTGCATTTTCATCAAGTTGTCAGCAGATTTACCTTCCCCCTTGGGGAATTTACCTCTTGCAATTTGTCTGTGACTTTGCTATTTTGACAAACTACATCTATACCAAAGGCTGTGCCAATGAAGCTCAAAAATCATCTTATTTAATATCTACTTGCAGAATCATCGTCTTCAGCTTGTGCCCCTGAACTGTGTTGTTTTTAAGTTTGTTGTATTCAGTGGAACAGCTTCACAGTTTCAGTGTCTTAATATGCTCAAGATTGTGAAATTTTTTTTAAAAAAAATTATGCTACCTGTGACAAATATCACACAAATCAAATAATATTACAAGTTCGGTCATTTACTGTGACAACAAAGGGCAAGTTCATAGTCTGGTTCTGTAAGCAGATGTTTATTTCCTAGACTAATTCAAATTAAGCTGTTCATCAGGTCCTTACTTAGGATGAAACTAAAATCCAGAACCATGAAAATAATATTATGAAAATTTCCTATTTGCATTCCCCCAACCTCAAAACATTCATTTAAGTATATCTCATATCCTGATATCACTAAATCTAGCATTTCATCAGCAGACCATAGCAGGGGTTTGCTTACAAAAATACAGATAATCCACAATATCAAAAGTAGGCCATCTATGTTAAAAAGAAACTATCCTCCATGTGTTTTGGGCCACAACTTTCATGAACAATGCGGCTATGATTGAAGTCCAAAACCTTATAATTAATCAGATTGCTTACTTCTGAGCTAGACAATTTATAACTTAATAGTCTACTGTTTCAGTTTCATTTATTTTGCTATTAACAATTTCTTAAATTTCGATTGACAATGTTTTTTGATTCTTTGGCTTGACAGTTACACATTTAATAGGTAGGTATAACCCAGGAGTTATTGTATCATGCAGGTAGAGTTTTTTTTTACTCTATCTCTAATTCTGTTCCATTATCCATGCTATGGCTGTAACCTTTTTTCCCAGATAATCTTCAATTCTTTTTATAAAGAAATAAACAGATGAGCTTCTATTCTAAGCTTTAGCCCATGACCTCAATAAATGTTTCCATGAAAATGCCTTGGCATGGTCCTCATTTCATTAACATTTTCTTTTAGATCTGAGCAGGAACAAAAATATGTATTTCTTGAGTTTAAATCAGACTTGCATGAAAAACAGCAAAAATTAGATCAAAATAGAAGTTTCCATGGAATCAACATTATCTTATATTTTTGATATGTACTAATGCCTCTTTGTAGGATGGATACTAAATATCCATCAACCAAAAAACTATTTAGCAAACTGAAATATTACTCCATTCCAAATTAACTGTCAATGATACCTTGGTGTCCATTATTTCACCATTGACACCATCATGTGAAAATAATGCCTCCAGTCCAGGATTCCAAATATGGATTTCTATAGTAGGGGCTGTCTATCAGAATACTTTCCATAAGCACAATTTGACATCCTTCTTCACTTTGAGAAGGAAACTAGTTTCATTCAGCACCCCATAATTGTTGAAACTGAATGACAGGAAGGAGGTTTCTATTTAGCATTAGTCAGGATTTCTGAGCCAAAGAAAAAAATTCCACATGTGCATGCATCAATTTCCAAGGCATAAGCTTCATCGCACATACTCAGAGCTTTATGATTTTCTTGCAGCATAGCTCCTGCTATCCCATATGAAATTCTATGACATTTTGTCCTCATCATCCACTGAAGATATGACCAGCATGCCATAACATATGTAGGCATGCATGGATAAGGGTGAACAGGGAGAATGAAGTATGTTTTGCATGCCAGGTTCCTGACAAAGTAATTCTTCAGGACCAAATGTATTGATTATTCTTTTTTTATCTCCTAGATGTTTGAAAGGATATGTCAACAGTAGCTTATCAATATTTGATCTGAGCGAACTTGGCAAGGGTTATTCAGGATACTGCAGGTATATATTACAAATATGCCTTTGTAACTTCCAGGATGGAGATCATTCTAATTCTATGAGGAAACTGTCAAAATCCTAGATTCTACATTTGCTTTTTAACTTTCGATTAATGGAATCCATGCAAATGGAAAGACATTCATATTTATGGGGATTGAATAAGATTCTGAAATTGTCACACTATATATCTTTAAGTGAATTCAATAAATTATTTTGGTGAGATATGCATTCATTGTTTTTAATTGATTTAAAGTATTTATATTCCTAAGTCTCTAGGACTGAAAGGTATTTTTAGCAATGTAAAAAATATCAAAGTGTAACAAAGTAAGGATAAAAATGACATAAACAAAAATCTCAGTAAAAGTTCAGCAACAAAGCCACCAATCAGAGAAACAGCTATTCCTTTGAGAAAGGATGCAAAACAAACAAAAAAAAACTACTTTCATCTCTTCTTGTCAGAAAAAGTCCTCTCCCTTGCTAGTTACATCCCTAGTGCACATGGTGTGGATGTCCCATAAATAATTAAGGATCACATTTTATAATGTGCTTTTTCCTAATGCAGCCTAATCCAACCTACATTTAAATGGCTTCTGCTGCAGCTATCTGGAGAGTTTGAGATTAGGAGAAGCAAACTGACCCATATTCATTTTCCTCTTTCCATTTGCTGTTATCCCATTTCTTCATCTGCAGATATTTCCCTGTGTGTGTGTGTGCATCTAATATAAGAGATATATACTATCCATTATGATCATTAACCAGAAATTCAATATAATAAATAGAACCGGATAAATAATAAAATGTTATGAAATGCCCAACCCTTTTCATGTATAAGCATGGTTATCTCTTCAATCATTCTGCCCTGTGGTGGTGAAATATTTCTGTTTATCTATCTGTGTCTGTATGGGTGAGATATGCATATCTATGTATATATTTATATGTATGTAGATGAGCGGATGGAGGAACGGATGGATAAATAGATGGGTGGATGGGTGTGGGACCAAGTGTGGGTGTGGGTGTGTATACAAAATGCATATATCTAAGAATGTGATGGGCATGTGTGCATGTTGAATGGGTGTGCATGTTGACATCTGAAAAGGATCACTGGCTAGACAGACAGATAGAGTCAACTGTTGTCCTTCTCTGCTTCTGTTACAGGTATAGAGATTACAGAGCACCTCCATGGAGTTCAACTCCATATGAATTCACCTTACAGTTCTGGCATGTTTTAGCAGCTCGGTTGGCTTTCATTATAGTCTTTGAGGTGAGTAGAATTGATTACTGAATGGAGAGCCGCCTAGCTGTCTTACTCAGGAGGGAAGTTTCTATTAGTTCTCTAGAAGTGGACTATGTGTAGCAATACTGGCTGCATTCATACAACCTGCTAGGCTAAAAACATTGATTAGCAAGTGAGTGACCTATCAACGTATGCATGCACACACTTGCACACATCCATACATAGCACATAGGTGTTTGAGCACATTTTATGTCCAAATGCTGAAGAATTTATGCAAGATAAAAATACAAGCAAATTGTTTACTCAATATTAAAATGAGTTAAATGAGTTTATCAGACCTTCAAGCACATGATATACTAACTTAATTTTATTCCTCAAAGAACTTATTTTTTTTACCAAGGATCATACATGTGCTCTCATAAATTCCACCTCTTACATGAAAGTCAACATGTATATTTGGAGGCAGATGCTGAAAGACCTCAAAGTCTATCGCATATTTCTTGGCTAGGATAGACTCCATGTGTTTCTCTACCTATCAGCAATAGGATAAAATAAGTTAAAGGATTAATAGAAACACAATCAATCAAATCATTCAATTTGATGGAAAATGTGCATTCCATTTTTTCATTAAAATGAGAATTAAATTGTTAGAAAAATTAATAGTCACAATTCTAGTACTTTAATAGAGTTAAGGCAATCAATGAGGTTCTCCGATGTTTAATTCTGCAATCATATATTCAAGCATATGAGGCCTCCCTGGCTTTCCATGATTTAATTATCAATATTGTAGGAGGAGAGCTATGATAATCTATGGTGGAACTTTTATTAGCAACTAACACATTTTATTAAAAGGCCTAAGCTTTTATGAACTCCAGTTCATTTATCAGAAACAATGGGATGACAAAAATATGACACCAAATAATGACTCAGATTACTCAATTTATTATCTTCCCCCCCCCCAAAAAAAACCACAAATATACAACCCGCCCCCAAATCCAGTAACAATTAAATATTCCAAACAAATGTTAAAGTACTATGAAAATTAATGCTGTTTTAAGGAAACTGAATGACAGGGCATTTATGTGGAATAGCAATAGACTGATGCACCACTTTATAATCCTTTACAACCTTCTCTAAGCAGTTTACAGAGTTTACAGTCACCATATTGCCCCCAACAATCTGGGTTCTTGTTTTACTGATCTCGGAAGGATGGAAGACTGAATCAATCTTGAGCCCGTCAGGAATCAAGGTTCAAAGGGATCAAGATGGTGGTTATGGCATGACATTAGTACATATGAGACGAGGTTTTGATCTTAATGTGTCTGCCATCTTGCAGATTTTGGCAAAGGAGAATGTGTGTCTACAAAGAACAAATTTGTAGAATGACAATGTCCAAGGACAAATAGAATAGAATTCTTTATTGGCCAAGTATGATTGGACACACAAGGAATTTGTCTTGGTGCAAATGTTCTCAGTGTACATAAAAGAAAAGATACATTCATCAAGAGTCAAGAATCATAAGGTACAACACTTAATGATAGTCATAGGGTACAATAAGCAATCAAATCATACTAGGAAACAGTCAATATAAATAGGAAGGATACAAGTGACAAAGTGTTGAGGGAATTATTTGTTTAGCAGAATGATGGCATTTGGGGAAAAACTGTCCTTGTGTCTTGTTGTTCTGGTGTGCAGTGCTCTATAGCGTCATTTTGAGGACAGAAGTTGAAACAGTTTATGTCCGGGATGTAAGGGATCTGTAAATATTTTCACAGCCTCAAATTTGGTTTTTCAAGAAAGCATACTGGAGAATTCCAAACAATGTCAGATCAGCATGAGCATTTTAAAAATGTCTACTCACCTTTCTCTTTCTCTGTCTTTCAGCATCTAGTTTTTGGAATAAAATCTTTCATTGCCTACCTGATTCCAGATATGCCCAAAGACTTGTGTGACAGAATGCGAAGGGAGAAATACTTAGTTCAGGAAATGATGTATGAGGCTGAGCTGGAGCATTTGCAAAGAGAGCGAAAAAAGAATGGTAGGCAGTATCACCATGAATGGCCTTAGCTGAGAAGAAAGGATGAAAGAAAAAAAGGGGGGAAAAAGCACCAGCAGAAGCATCATGACTGAACATTTCCAGAAGTCAAGATCAAGGTGGGATTTGGAAAGAAGACAACAGAATCAAGCTGTGTATGTGTGTTGATGTAAGGAAGTAACGTTATCAAGCTTTCTTGTAAAATTGGAACAAATCCTGTTACCAGCAGACACAATCAATCGTTCTGCTTCTTTCATGCTCTGTGCTCAAAAAAAACAAAAAAAAAAAAAAAGGAAGAAGACTGTAGAAGAACAGAAGTAGAAGAGGAGAATTTACTGGGCAAGCACATAATAAACCCAACAGATCTGAGAAAATATAGAGTCCATTACTTGTTTGTTAAACTTTCATAGTAAGGGGTTTATTTAAAAAATGATGTGCTTATTCACTACTTTTACCCCTTCTGTTTGCTTTAATGAATGAAAAACTCTGACAATTGCTGCCTTAGTGGCCATCTGTTGATGCTGTAACAGTCCGTGAGGCTTCCCGTTTTGTCAGGTTTATCCTTGTCTCTTGCTGAGATTGTGGATGTTAAAAGGGAGGCCAGCCTGTCCTATATTTACTATGCAGTTTGATGTTTTGCACATCACTTTTTGTTGTTTTGTATCCATAATTCAGTGTACATTCAGGCGTGCATAGACATGCACATACAGACACGCCCATCTGCTGTGTGTCTCTCTCTGTGTACAGATACGTACGTATATATGTGCGTGTGTGTGCATACCCATATGTGTATGTCAAACACGCACATACACACATACAAAGCAAGACTTCAAGCCAAGAGTCAATGATCCACTACTGCGTGAGATACCTTGATTCTTCATGCAGAGCAATGTATATCTCAGCTAAAAGTCTTACACAAAGAAAACAATCCTGGTCCTGGAAAAACTTCCGCTGAATGCAGAAGCCTAAAAGCCTACTTCATATGGCTCATTCTGCACATTTGATGTGCATAAAGCTGCATGAGTGTTTCTTTTCCCTAACTCAGAAAACCTGGTATGCTGACTCACCACTGCACTGCCCTTGATGACTCAACTCTTTGGGGAAAATATGTGGCATTTTCCATTGCTCTTGATATTCAATGTGCAACTGAAGGCCGTTTCCTTATACCTCTTAAGTGAACTGTCCTATCCATGCTCTAATGCAGCATGCCGAAGCAGCATGCGGAAGTATAACTCTGAATATTTTATATTTCACAAAAATGTCAACCTGAAATGTCTCAATCTGTAGCAAATATGAAACCAATGTTTTATTTACCGTATGCAAAGCTTCCTGCTTATGCAGCAAATGAGGCATAACAGCACTGAACTGCTTTTCCAAGAAAAGAGATAGGACCGTACGTCATACTTTTTTTCTTTAAAAACAAATTATGGAAGTAGGAAGATAAATTGGATTAAATTATTCTCCTGTGGAATCTCTTGCCAAGATATATCTAAAAAAACACCTTCAAATAAGTGAACTGACTATGGAGATACAAACGTTGATTCTCAGCTGCCTGAACCAGGCAACAATAACACTTAGAAAGTGTTAAAGAAATAATTGTCGCAACAATTATTTATTAACTGATTTTCTTGGGTTTTTTTAAAATGAGGAAGAGTATGAAACACCAAACTAAAACATGTGTGCAAGATTTACTTATGTGCAAAACTCTCCAAAGTTCTGCATTTTCCTTTTACAAAATGATCAGGTATACAAAAGTTTCTTATTTATATCAACCAAAGCAAGTTTAAAAGGTGTTCTGCTGTCCAGGTTTAGTATTGTATAGCAAAGCACAGCAAATATATCTCATGTAAACAAATGGTTTATAGATGTGATATTACACTATTTGCATGAAATGCATCTTCTCTTTCACTTGAAACCATCAGTGATTTCATTTCATTCTAATGCCCACACCATTATTTTACTTCTCAAGGAGTTTTTCTTCCTCTGTTTCTTTCTTAGAAATACTGTCCTACATTATAACAATCAGCTTTATAATATTACTCTTGATATTGATTCTCTGATCCAGCAATTGCTTATTATACAGATATTAATTCCAGGCCTTTCCATCCCTGTTTTCCCATGTGTTTTAATCCCAGGATAATGTTGCACATGTCAACACTAATGCTACCTTGTGCACCCATGAATAGAGAAACTTGCCAGCCTGCAAACTTTATGGGTGCATCAGTTTGCCCAAAACTGTCAGAATCAGTACAAAGTATACTTTTTTTGCATGCTGTGAAACACAGTTTATGTTACCTTTATCTGACCTTTAAGTTTTGCCATACAGCAATGCTTATTGCCTTGGCGGGACCCAAGCTTTAAAATGGATTCTGTTTGTCAGCTTGTATCCTTGTTTTTTGGTGTTCTGTTTATCACTGTTTATTCCAATTAATCACAGGGCAAACTTATGCTGCATTCTCAAAACCAGATTCTGTGGTTTCAAGGACTTGCCAGTGCCATTAATTTAACATGTAAATTTGAAAATCTAAATTCTTGTACAAGACAAACAAATCTCATTCTGAGTAAACATCTTTCTAAGTACTAAACAAAAATGCCAAAAACATTGTGATGCATTAAATATAATTTTGCACCATTGTACCCTCAATATAAACGTAATGAAAGTTTTAATCCAGTTTTTATTGTGGAAAATTACAAATTCTAGTTACTTCCACAACTGGAAAGTTTAATGGCTTTGATTTTGCAAACCTATAAATTTTGTTCCCCAGTAATTGGAAAGTTTCTGAAATAAAAAAACTGTTTATGTTCCTTTCTTTAAAATAAATTGGGTCTCAACAGTGTCCTAGAAGATTGCTGATGTATAGAGAGATATATGCTTTAGCTGAGAGAAATGCTCTGCTAGGTTTGGTTTACTATGTTGCATTGAATGCATATTATCTTATAAAGATATACAGCACACATTGTTCTCAGGAAATGTGCATTACATGAGTGCTGGATTAAAGATTTAACTTCCTGTTTTTTGTACTTCTAAATACTTGTATTTTGAAATGACCAATACCAGTGGTATATGCATGCAAAGCTGCAGAGCTTCAAAACTAGCATTCATGCAAAAAAAAAAAATGCTTTAGATCATTGTCGATCTAGCCTACAATAACTTTGGTCTATGCATGTTCTTTCAGACAGACTGCATGAGCAGCTACAGTCTGTCTTTCAAAATCTACAGTTTGTTATTAGTCCAGAATGTCTTAACTATTACCAACTCAACTCAGTGTTTTGGTGCATTCAAGAAAAAAAAAACTTGCTTGAAAAATAAACATTTGTTTACTACTTACTAGTCTTACTTTACTTCCCTCCCATTAAACATTGTAGCTTACTGTATGAGAGCACAAAAGTGGGAATGTATGGGAATTTATAAAAGAAACAAAAATGTCAATGTCAGTCTCAGGTCTTGACAAGTTCATGCCCAGGTTCATACTGTTTTCTTGACAGAAGTTTGTTACTTCTTCATATACCTTGGGGAATGACAGCAGGCTTTTAATGGCTGCAGGCTGAAGTCGAGGCCTACATTTGGTGAAACTGCCAAGTGCTATTTTTTAGGGTGGGGAGGGAGAGAGATAATGAATTGTTTCTCTTTTGTTGTGGATGTGTGTGACATGTAAAGTATTTTCTGAATTTGATAGACTGGTTTGCAATCACTTTCCTAAACTAGCAAATTATTCAGTCTAGACATATGTTCATTCATAAATCCTTTATTTGGAAGCCTATAAAACATGGCGGGAAATAGCCTTCCAGAGATAAAAATAATCCCTGATACTATAATAATAATTACCGTGTTTCTCACATAATAAGGCCGGGCCTTATTTTTTTTTGACCCCCGAAAAACTGGCTAGGCCGTCTTTTCGGGGGTGACTTAATTTCCCCCCCCCCCCTTGCATCCTCGGGGAGCCGCGCCGGGTCGGATGGGATGTTCGGGAGACCTTCCGCCACCGTTAATTTACAGACACCCTTGCTGCCGTAGCGTTACAGCAACGCCGCGGCGTTTGGCGCAGCCACGTGCAGCCAGTCAGGGCTCCTCCCTGCAACCGGAGCCCTGAGGAGACACTTGGCTTCAGGCGCTCCTGTGGCCGCCTTCCCTTTGCCTTCGATGGTAAAGTGAATTATTTTAAAAACCTCCGCTCATCCCATCAGGGCCGTGCGAGCTGAGCAGAGCCGGGAAAGCAAGCCGCGGGTGTTTCCTGGTTCTGCCCAGCCCGTACGGCTCTGCCGCGGCCCTGGCGGGATGAGCAGAGGTTTTTAAAATAATTCACTTTATCTTCGAAGGCAAAGGGAAGGCGGCCACAGGAGCGCCTGAAGCCAAGTATACCAACAACAAAAGGCAAATCCTCAAGGTGGGCTGGAGGGAGGTGGCTACGTGCCCCCCGGGCTGCTTCAATGCAAGGTCCTGACTTGCAGCATCCTGCCGTTGCCGCCGCGTCCTTTTCGCTGCCACCTCTCTCTCCGACTGCAAAACTTGTGTGCTTCGCCAAATGCTCCGAGCGAGGCGAGCTCTTTCATACATAGAGAGGGAAAGACGCCGACGTGCTCCGAGAGGCTGGTTCTTTTCTCTAGCCGAGGCTGACAGGAAGTGCCTCCAGGGCCGTGGCAGGCAAGCCGCGGGTGTTTCCTGGTTCTGCCCAGCGCGCACGGCTCTGCCACGGCCCTGGTGGGATGAGCGGAGGGCCCGGCGGGGAGGCACTCGTTGCCTTGGTGACATTTCAGGTGCCTCCGCCGCCTCCTTGCCCATCGCAGGTGGCGGTGGCGGCGGCAAGCGGCGGCGCTTCGCTGAGGGAAAAAGAAGACAGCGCAGCCACCTTGCTTGCTTTCCCACCTGCCCGCCCCAGATGGCCTCAGGAGCGGCGGCAGTGGCAGCAGGCGAAGGGAGGAGAGGCGAGGAAAGAGAAGGGAGTGCGGCAGCAGCGGCTGTCACAGTATCGTCTCATAGCGGGGCAAGGCTGGCAAGCTGAGGTGGCCGCACCAGAGAGCGTCACTGCCGACCCCGTCGTGAGGATAAAGGAGCGGGATAGAAATTCAGTCAGATGTCAGCCTCGGCTAGAGAAAAGAACCAGCCTCTCGGAGCACGTCGGCGTCTTTCCCTCTCTATGTATGAAAGAGCTCGCCTCGCTCGGAGCGTTTGGCGAAGCACACGAGTTTCGCAGTCGGAGAGGGAGGCGGCGGCAAAAAGGACGCGGCGGCAACGGCAGGATGCTGCAAGTCAGGACCTTGCATTGAAGCAGCCCGGGGGGCACGTAGCCACCTCCCTCCAGCCCACCTTGAGGATTTGCCTTTTGTTGTTGGTATACTTGGCTTCAGGCGCTCCTGTGGCCGCCTTCCCTTTGCCTTCGAAGGTAAAGTGAATTGTTTTAAAAACCTCCGCTCATCCCGCCAGGGCCGCGGCAGAGCCGTACGGGCTGGGCAGAACCAGGAAACACCCGCGGCTTGCTTTCCCAGCTCTGCTCAGCTCGCATGGCCCTGATGGGATGAGCGGAGGTTTTTAAAATAATTCACTTTACCATCGAAGGCAAAGGGAAGGTGGCCACAGGAGCGCCTGAAGCCAAGTGTCTCCTCAGGGCTCCGGTTGCAGGGAGGAGCCCTGACTGGCTGCACGTGGCTGCGCCAAACGCCGCGGCGTTGCTGTAACGCTACGGCAGCAAGGGAGAAGGGAAATTAACGGTGGCGGAAGGTCTCCCGATATGAAGTGCTCCACCAACGCAGGCAGCACCATATCCAGGCATGCAACAAAGTACTTCCTAACGGCAAGCCCCCCCCCCCCGCCATTCCCCCCCATTTCGCATGTTTAATATGGGCCTTAATTTGGGGGGAGGGGTTTCATTTGATTTTATGCCAATAAATCATGCTGGGGCTTCCTATTGGTGGAGGCCGTATTGTTGGAGAAACACGGTATATATAAGGTGCAATTTATATCGTGGCTTGCACTTTTAATCCCAAGGTAGCAGCATTAAAATCCAACCCATACTATGAGCAAGATGGTGGGATTCTTTTAAACCAAAAAAAAAAAATTATTCTTTAAAGTACTGCTAGCATTTTAGAAGCTAGTCTTTATCCATTATGAAACTAATCTGAAAGGATATGACCCTCTATTAAATAATAAATAAATGTCTTCTAAGCAAATTAGCAGACATAAATAGTATGTTTTCTTCTGTTATTATGAAATCTCTATGGTCAGCTATATTTTTGTATTATTATTATTATTTGTGCTAAAAGTAAGATTCAGGCATGCTTGTGTTAGTGTAGGATTTCTCATAGGGGTTATAACCAGGTAAATTGTTTTTCCATTCATTCTTCAGCACATCATTTGCATCTGCCTTCATTTCAAAGTCAATTTTCAATTCATCCTGAAAATAAATTTTAAAAAACATTAAATCATGCAGGTGGTTACACCCAAATCCACTGCCACAACCCTAAATGGCCAGGAGTGAAACGTACCTTTCTTAGTTAAATACTTAGTTATGTACTGAAATAATAGTAATCTGAATCTAACCATCTGCCCATCATCACTCTTTCAGAAATGAAGCTCTGATTGCTTAAAATTATCCTTTTTGCCAGCTTTTTCACTTCATTCATATTTTAATTTAAGCCTGTTCAATGAGAATTCAACTTCATCATGGTAAAAATCATTTAATTTGGCTAAAAGAAAGACATTATCAGTCTGATTCATAGGGTTCATTGTAATGGCTGTGGAATTATGGGAATTCCACAGCCATTACAATACAGACAATACTGCTACCCTGCAAAAAGATCTTGACTATGTATCAGAATGGTCAAACAAATGGCAACTTCAAATCTCAACAAATAAATGCTCTGTCTTACATATTGGCAAAAAAAATCAGAAAATAAAATACAAGCTGAATAATCAAGAACTTGTTGATGACCCAAGCTCTGTAAAGGACCTTGGAATACTCACCTCTAATGATCTAAGTGCTAGAGCCCACTGCAACTACATAGCCAAAAAGGCATTAAGAGTTGTTAACCTAATCCTACGTAGCTTTTTCTCTGGTAATATCACACTACTAACCAGAGCATACAAAACATTTGCTAGACCAATACTCGAATACAGTTCATCAGTCTGGAATCCACATTACGTATCTGATATTAGCACAATTGAGAAAGTCCAGAAATATTTCACAAGAAGAGTTCTCCACTCCTCTACTCGTTGTAGAATACCTTATGCCACCAGACTTGAAATTCTAGAACTAGAAAACCTTGAATTACGCCGTCTTCGGTCTGACTTAAGCATGGTATATAAAATCATACATTGCAATGTCCTACCTGTCAGTGAATACTTCAGCTTCAACCATAACAACACAAGAGCACACAATAGATACAAACTCAAAGTAAACCGCACCAAACTTGATTGCAGGAAATACGACTTCAGCAATAGAGTGGCCAATGTCTGGAATACTCTACCTGACTCTGTAGTTTCTTCCCCAAACCCCAAAAACTTTAACCTTAGACTGTCTACTATTGACCTCACCCCTTTCCTAAGAGGTCTGTAGGGGGCGTGCATAAGCGCACCAACGTGCCTACCGTCCCTGTCCTATTGTTTCTCTTATTCTTTTATTTTTCATATATGTACCCATTTCATGTATTCACAACTATGTATACTCTTATACTTATTATCTTGTAAACAATTGGCAAATCAAATAAATAAAAATAAATTGAAGTCCACACATCTTCAACTAGCCAAAGTTGAGAAACGTTGCCATAAGGTAATCAAAATTAGGGATACTTGAAATTGATATCATCAAATTCTTCTAACATAACCTTCTGAACAAAATAAATAGATTGGAACCTAATGATTTATCAGTTTTCTCTCCTACCCAAACCTATTAGTGCTATTCATAGCTCAAAACAACATGCATTTTTATTAATTAGAATTATATATATTTGAAATAAAAACTATTTAGTGTTCTATCATATAGATTTTAGGATGTCTTAGTAACCATAAGATTTTTTTGAAGTCCAGTCCTTAGTGAAAAAATTTTCATTGAAAGATAATGAAAAAATATAGCAGGACAGGGTATCAAGAAATGGGATGGAGTCTATCAGGCTCAACCCCATCCATTGCTCTGATATGTCAAAGAATATGTCAAAAGAATAAAATAATCTTACTTGAAGTTCTTTACTGTTATGATCCACTCCACACCAGCAAAATGCTTTGTATTTAGGAGACCAGAAACAAAATAGATTGCAGATTGGGCGAATTAATAGCGGTTTAATATCTTTTCCTTTATTTGGACCTAGGCAGAACAAAA